CTCACACTACACTTTATTTCATACATGATTCTCATGCGGTGGCTGCCCATCACTATATGTTGGGTTTTTTTTTTTTTTTTTTTTGCATTTCCCCTCTTTCAATAAAACCCTGTGTCATTTCAAGCATGTGCCAACTTTTTACCTGTCTACCTAAATTATTCCATTAATTATTTAATTTCTAAATGTTAACGGACTCTTGAGTTCCCTGGTATTTGACAATGATTAATTTGTTTTCTAATGTTGTAACACAGGGGCGTAGCTGGAGGGGGCAAATTGATGTTTTAAATGTTTTCCATTCTTGGTAAAGGTGGGTATGCGAAAATTTCAGTTGGTTTTAGGTGATGAATAACCCTAGCTACAGCTCTGTAGTAACATTAAGAAAGAAGGATTCAAAATAATTTTGTGAATTTGTTCTAACACTCCCCCCCCCCATTATTGTAAGTAATATACAGCAGCTACTTATAAGAACATGGTATACATGAATTAAAAATAATTATACAGAAAATGGGAAAATGAAAGGGAGTGAGAACTTTTGTGAATCCAACAACTATGAATACAATTGAAATAAATTGTACAAGGCTATCGCAATGAAGCGTGGCCTATTCAGAGCATACTGTAACTGTTAACTGTAATGTGGATTGGTTTCAAAATTTGTGGATAGACAATTCAAGGAATGCACTTAAAGATTTCACACACACATACACAAAAGGGGTGGAAATGTTTGAAAGTTTTTGCTAGAGGGTGGGTGCATTACAGCCAAAATGCTCAAAAAAGCATGCAAGAAATAGCTGTGGTTATTTTAAAATTTTCAAGCAATTTATGACAATACAAAGAATGATAATTGTGGTGGTGCAAGTGAAAAAGAAAACTATTTGATTTGCATAAGGAGATGGGTTGAGCACAAGTTCTGGGTATATAAAGGCGATCCAAGTGAGTAGCATTCTTTCAGCTATGATGGCTATTAGTTTACCAGAACATGTATTAATCGTGCAACTATTTTACAAAAACCACGGAAATGCTGTAGCAGCTGTTCATGAATTTCCATATAAAAAGATGTTGTGCCTGTGGCCAGTGTATCTTATTCGGGGAAAAAAAATGGATCTTTAGGCATTCAGCATGGTAGAAGACGAAAGCCTGGAGTCGCTTCAGAGGTAGCAGTGGCTGTTGTTGAGCATTTACTGATGAATGATCAGTGCACGTGCAATGACATGACAGTTAGATGTATAAACATTGGGAAAAACAGTGCACTTTTTTCTGTATAAGATCAACCACAACCAGTAACTACTTGTTACCAATACTGACTTTTCTTGCTGGAATAGAAGTCGATAACTCCTGGCTGAGGAACATTTCTGGAGTGACGATGCACATTTTTATCTTGTTGGAATGAAGAACACCCAGACTTGTTGAATTTGGGCTATGGAAAATCCATGTGCCTTCCACATAATTCACTACATTCGCCTGAAGTTGCTGCCTGGTGTAAGCTCAATCTATTGTTGGACCATTCGTCTTTTAAGAAAATTATGATGAACCCTGTAACGACAATCAGATATGACATGCCCAACAGTTTCATTTCACCTCAATTTCAACAGCGACAATACTTTGCATCTACTACTTTTATAAAGATACTTAAAGACTATAGTTTATTGGGGAAATCTTGCAACTTTGGCTGACCTAAAGGACCATATAATTTTGCATGCGTGAAAGATAACTAATGATCAGCTGTAGAATACACTATTCATTTACCTATATATTTTACACCTTAATGAATGAGCCCACATTGAACAACATGCTTTACATCACTAAACAGTCTAACAAATAAACAATGCAAACAAACAGGTTGGTTATAATACACACATCTCCTGTAACAATTATTTCCAGAATTCCATCACCTTTGACCTGAAAACGATGCAAAAGTTCCTCAAATATCAGTGTGAAGATCTGCAAGTTCTGTAATCAATTGACATAGCATCCCTCTTGCTGACATTTTGGCATACCATGGACAATATTGTGCACTAAACCAACACTAATGTTCAACTGTGGCAATTTCTTATCCTTCTTTTCCTTCAGGAGCTTTTCCACCATGGTAATAATTTTATTCATCTCTACATGGTGTGCTATACCAGTCAAAGAATATCCTCCACAGAAAGAGGACATTCCACACATTTTCTCTTCAGAAGTGGATACTATAAACTTTCTACCTCACTTGTATGTTTGATAAGGGATACATATGAATCACTGTATTGCACATTCATTTTGCGATTAATTTCACCTGGTTTAACATCTTCATTGCTTAATAAATACATCACAGGTCTCTGCGTAAACAAATGATAATAAATGAATCACAATACACATAAACAGTGGGATGACATCTTTGCCACAATTCTGCTTTCTACGAAGGCTATAAATTAAGTAATGGCAACACAGGTATAAATCAATTTAATGAACTTACAAGTACAATTGCATTACATTCCTTCTATGTAATCACCAGCAAAGGTTGGTTGGTTCACCTTTCGCTTAGTGTCGGGAAGCCGTTGTAGACCAGTGGCAAGGTGTTGATTGTTGATCTGGGCGACCGAGCGCCCTACTGTGTGGAGTACAGATGAAACGTCATAAAATCGGTGACCTCGGAGGGATTCCTTCAAACAAATCGAAGTCACAAGGACTCGTGTCGGGTGAGTAGGGAGTCGTATTTCAGGATTTCCCACTGCCACCGTCGCAAAAGAGAATGACATTGTTTGCGAAATGGCAACGAGCGTTGTTATGCAATACGATAGGGAGATTGTTGTGCAATAAACGTGGATGTTTGCACCGCATAACCAGACGCAGATGGTGCTGTAGAAATCGGCAATAGTAATCTGTGTTGACAGTTTGTCCTTCAGGTACAGCATGTGTAAGAATCACACCATCCCAGTCGTATGCCATAATCAGCATAACCTTCACTCGACTGGGTTCCTGTCGAAATTTCTGTGGAACCTTGGTGATGCCATTCGATTGACACTTTAATTCAGGCTCATAGGCTCGTGCCCATGTCTCACCAATGGCGATAATACGCTGCAGAAATGCGTCTCCTTCATTATGGTATCTCTTTAAGTGGGTGCCAGCCAGTGCATACCGGTGCCATTTCTGTACTTCAGTTAGTCAATGTGGAACCCAACGAGAAGCAATTTTCCTCATGTTGAGAGATTTCTTCATTATGCGCCACACCGTCTGATGACTCAGACCAACCTCTAAGGATAATTCTTGGACAGTCCATCAACGGTCTATGGTAAGGAGACTGCTCAGGATGTCAATCTGCTCTTGAGGAATGGAGGGCTGACCTGTGCATTGCAAATCTGCAGTCTCATTCCGACCCGAATGAAATGCTTGAACCCATTGTGCTATTGTCCTATACGGTAAAGCATTTGTGCCACAGGCTTCAACTAATCCTCGATAGCATTCTGTTGCATTTTTGCCACAGGCAACCTTGATTTTAAGCCATGACTGCTGATCACCTTTTGAAAACATGCTTTAGAGCGATGGAAACGAAACTCCTCACTTTAGCGCCACACAACTACCCTTCTAAGCAGATCGACTGCTTTTTCACACACATCGACAACAGTGCCACCCCACCACTCCCATATCCTATTTGTGCATGCCCGCCCTTCTGCGAGTTTCAAGGTTAAGTTGCCAGTATTTAATTTGCAACTCCCGTACATATTGTTTGGTTTTGAGTACAAGTAAGCATAAACTGTTTGATGGACGTTATCCCAATCCTTAAATGACTTATCATTTAAAGAATTATAAATTGAAACAGGTGTTAGTCTGATCAGATGACGTGCTAAAAGTATAATAAGTGAAGAATTTTCCAGTTGAACTGCAAGATTTTTTTTATCAGGCCATCCTTGCACTATATAATTTAGTAATATATTGGTTCAAATTATTATTTTTTTTTTTTTTTTTCTATTGATGAATACTGGCATTTGATGGCTTGATGCAGATACTCAAGTTGTTCGCAGCATACTTCAGACTAAATGGCTCTTATAGTCTTAATACAATACAAGGGCACTCAAAGTAGACAAATGTAGCACAATTTTCTTCAAATAAAGAGCAGATTTAGCTGTTAGAAATTATCTTTTGCCAGGATTTAATCTCTGGTTTTTGCTTTGTACATAAATTCAAAGAAAACATTTTTTGGAGACTGGTGATGATACAATAATAATAATAATAAAGGTCAGCTTTCTACACTGTCCAAGAAAAAGGTATATAGTTGAGCACTGGTGCATGCACATAGCTGAAACTTGATGAGATTTGCTGTTTTTAAGACTGGCCATTCCAAGATCTTATTTTCCAACTATATTTCATTCATTAATCTCTTCTGATGGTGTGCCATATTTGTTAAGGTTGCTGAGGTCATAATTACCTAAACCAAGGATGAGTTTGATGCTCACTAATAACTTTCCTACAGATATATATTTCTAGTAGCTTGTGTAAGTATACTGCTGTGTCAAAATTCTTACTGCAAGCAATATATCACTTGTACCTATTGAATTATAGGAAATAATGCATATTCAAATTTAGCATAGAATGAAGTGATTACTACTTTCTTGACATCTTTATAATTTTAAAAGAATCGTTTGCAGCATCATATGTTTAAGAAAACAAGATTCTGAAGGAAGTGAAATTCTCGTCTGATTATTTAGCCAATTAATCAGAATTAACAATAATGGTTTTAATTAAACATCAAGGCTTTTTACCTAAGCTCAGATACCTTTTTGAGTATTCTACAAAGCTAATTTATAAAATAATTCTAAAAAGCTAACTTCTGTTCATATTACATAATAGGTAACCAAGACAAATCATTCTGTTATCAGGAATTGAATGCAAGATGCTATTAGCAGTGTTTGCAGTTTTAACCACTTCACTACTGGTAGATTATTATGTCACTATTAAGTCAAAATTGGATAAGATAATTAAATAATCAGAATATATGTTTGTTATTTAAAAGCAAATATATCAAAACACACAACTTATAATTTCATTTTAATTGGAAAAAAATTGGTTTTGATCATAAACAATACAGCTTTCTATTTTAGATACTGCATACAAAAGCGAATATATAATTCATATGTAATAGCAAATAGTATTTAGAGCAGCAATATATTCAGGATGTACTGAGAAATATACTACTGTTTGAATAGTCATTTACTAATGGAATGCTCATTAATCACAATGTTGAAGCTCATTTAAAAGTATACTATAAATTATGATTTAATTCCTTCAATTCAGAACTAGAAGTATATTTTTTCATAAAGATTAATACAGTAAAATTCTGATAATCTATTGCACCAGGTTTAGGATGAAAAAAACCAAAAGCATCAGTGAATGTGTTTGTATACTGCTAAATGTTGCTGATGAAGGTATACTCGTGTAATATTTCTTATTGTAATCAAGCAGCAGAATGTCAAAATTCTAACAGCAAGATTTTGCATATTTTTGATGGATATAGAATGCTTTACGAAAGAAAACTTTGGGACTAAAATTGTGTGGATTATGGAATTTGTGAATTATAGGTCATCTTCCTGAATTTTTTATAATTTTTCATTTCTAGTTTTTGCATTAAATTTGGATTACTTGCACATAAATAATTAACTAAAACAGCTATCTTGCTGACACAGTAGTAAGAGAAGAGGCTACCATCTTGAGCCTGGCTTCGAAAGCTGGCATGAATGTTTGTAAATGTATAGTGTCTTTGCATCAAAGGGAGCCCTTAAAATACCTTCAAGCCGAAAATCTTCTCATGAGGTTGGTAGAATGAGAAGATGGTTACATTCCGATACATTTTTTGGGCTCCGGGCTATGTCCTTTAAACTTTGGATGAAGATTGCAAAGCTTGAAGGAGTAGGCTTCCCCAATGAATGCTTATCTTGTAAAACATCTAGCCATTAGAGCAAAACTAACCCAAACACACTCATACCTTGAGGATTATTTGATCAAAATTTACTGAATACAAAATTATAATATTTTTTATACATAAAGTATTTTGGATAGAAAATTTCGTGAAAAGGCATTTTCGAGAAAGTAAATTGTTAATTAAAAATGCATCAGTCTTTTATGTATGAAAAAACCTGAATATACACCAATGAAATTGCTTGCAAAGGAATGCTTTTGCTCAGAGAAAGAGTAAAATATACACTGTTTACAAAAATTCCAGCGATAAGATATTCTTTAATCTGAATAAATTTCTGAGTTACTTCTAACTTCATGCATATGTTATTAGATAAATAACATTACTAGCAGTTAAAAAGTTGAAATTTTGGAATTATAAAGGGAAATTTTTTTAAGCTCTAATTTGCTTTACAGTGTTTTCAAGTGTTATATTTAAGAATCTTCCTGTTTGCCACTGATGAAAATGAACTTCCTCACTTTTCGAAATGCAACAAATATACTTTATACGTGTATTAGTCCAACATTGACTTTTTTTTTTATATGTAGCTTCATATAACAGTATGTCCTCAGTGAATTTATAAACCAGCTATGAGGGACATTTAAGTTGAAACTCAACGTCTGAAAAGTTGTGAACAAGTAAATTCCTTATATATGTTAGCCATGTAAATTTTAGATACCAGCGTCATCCTAAAGTATTCTATCCTAAGAAATATACATCCTAAAGTACAGATTATCCAAACAGAAAAAATTGTAGAATTACAGTAATAAAATTAATTTTCGTTTTCAATCAAAATATATATTATACTTTTCTGTGAATCTAACTTTTGTTTGTTTGGATGAAGATTGCAAAGCTTGAAGGAGTAGGCTTCCCCAATGAATGCTTATCTTGTAAAACATCTAGCCATTAGAGCAAAACTAACCCAAACACACTCATACCTTGAGGATTATTTGATCAAAATTTACTGAATACAAAATTATAATATTTTTTATACATAAAGTATTTTGGATAGAAAATTTCGTGAAAAGGCATTTTCGAGAAAGTAAATTGTTAATTAAAAATGCATCAGTCTTTTATGTATGAAAAAACCTGAATATACACCAATGAAATTGCTTGCAAAGGAATGCTTTTGCTCAGAGAAAGAGTAAAATATACACTGTTTACAAAAATTCCAGCGATAAGATATTCTTTAATCTGAATAAATTTCTGAGTTACTTCTAACTTCATGCATATCTAAAAATGAGTATGAATTACATGCAATCACAGATTATCAAAATTCCAGAATATTGCTAAAATTAGCAACTGAAAACAAATCTAAAATAAATTTTGCTCTTAGTATTGTTTGATTTCAATATACAAACTAGAAATACTATTTATAACATTTAAAAGCATCAAAGTGTTTGTTTTTTAACTGCCACCATTTTTAGCACGTATATATCGGAAGCTATTTTAAAGTAGTGATTTTCTTTACAAAGTCATAAATAAAAGTAATATGAATGGACCAATATGTACAATTTTGCAGAATAAGAAAACTGTAAAAAAAATTTAGGCAACTTCTAGATTTAATTCTACTACCTCTTTGAAATAGATATGAGTATGAAAAAGAGAATATTAGAAGACACAGTCTTGATATCAGCATCATAAAGATAAAAATGCTAAGGGATCATTAATGTGAATATAAACATTTGCAGACCTTTTCTTCATACTTAGAATTAAAAAATGGTAATAATTTATAAATTACAAAATTAATTTGGTTCCTTAACAAATTGATACTTGACAAAAAAATAATCATGCATATATATATATTATTTCCACAGATCATATTTTAAACCCAGCATAGACATAACAGTATTTTCGCAGCAGGTGACCTACTAGACCTCAGCTATAACAACAGGTGACCTACCCTGCATTTGTTTTTGGTTGTGAACATGAGCCATGTACTGATGGTAAATCATCAGATGAATTTTGCTTATCCTACTATGGTAACCAACACTCAAATGATAGAATTTCTGTGTGTGCATGGGGGTAACTTAAATAATTATACAGAATATGAAAAAAAATATTTGAAATGCTGCCATATTGCCTTGCTTGACTGGTGGTGATCTGTCAACAAAGGAGATAAATTACTGGCTATGTTGAGAGACATCAGGGCAGTGTCTGTGTGAATAAAGAGCAAATGGCTAATTTATGTTTTACATCTGATTCAAGTAGTATGGCAAATCTGAAATAAGACTGCTTTAATTGACAGATGCCAAAAAAGATTGCTTGACCCATTTTGCTAGTGTCTTTAAAGTACAATGACGACCATCAAGGGGCTCTTCAGAACTCCATCAGTACATTTATGTACAACTACTTTACATGCAATTTAAGTATGGCAATGTAATAGATCTCTTTGGTTTTGATCATAGTTCACAAGTGGTAGGCCATCTGTTGTGAGAATATCAAAAGAATTTTATTAGCAGGAACACACAATTCTTTAAAATGATGCACATACACAAATATAATATACAATGAAACAGTCTAACAGTATTAGCAGATTTTATAACAATTGTATAAAACAAATTGAAATAAAGTACAGTAAAATCCCAGTTCACTTGAGCTCTGCAGTGAATCTCTAACATTAATGCACTATTTTTCCACCTCATAATTTATAAAAGTTTTACCAGACACACAAAGGATTTTTCAGACTGTTACAGAACTGCTGTATACTTAATGGCAGGAACACATAACAATTACCTACAACTTGATTTTCAGACAATTACAGAATAGTATGGCAATGCAAGAGGAAACCACTACAAAATTAAAAGGACGATTTTAAAGAAGTGTTAAATGCCAATTGTTTAACCATTATAAAACAATTTCTTTTTGTTATGTTTACCAACTATTGAATGGCAAGGTCACTAAACACTGCTAATTCAACCATGGTTAAAAGCTTTATGAATGTGCTGGCTGCATGGAAATTTTTGTGGCTTTCTCCTTGTGTGACCTGAATACGAATGAGTTTCCTTTAAAACGTTTTTCATAAAGGCATCCCTTTCTTCCCTTACGCAAATAGTCTCCCAGTGCTTTGCTGTAATCTAAATAATCAACTTCTTTTTTATCATTTTATTTCATTTTAAAATGCAGCATTTCATTATTTTAAAATGCATTTTAAATAATGAAATTTTAAAATGTAAATACCACAACTTTGATTCTTAAATTATTACATCTACTAAACATGTAATAAATGATAAATCATAAAAATAAATATGAAATGTATTTTCTATGACATTAAATTCATGAAGCCACAAAATAAGGCTTAAGTGATATTATGACATTGCAAACTGTGTATCCATTACGAGCCATCCAAAACCTTCTCTTCTGTTCAGACTTTACATTAATTTAATAACTGGCATTTTATTGTACTTATAGTTCAATTACTAGATTGATTTTTAACAAGGAAAACATTGTATTGATATGTATACTTTTATCATAAACTTTTTTTATTCCTTTCCAAAAATCTTAAGACCTTTTTAAGTACAAAATACAATAATTTTTAATAAAATTACATTATATTACATAAAAACATATAGTCCTTTTTTTTTTATTTATTTATTTTTCATTAAGACTCTGAAGCATATTTTAAAGGAGGAAAATGTAAAAATTTAAATTTTTATTAGAAATTCCATAGTTTCTCAATCTGAAACATTTTTAAATGGCAGTTACATATATAACAACCATGTAGAATTACAGATTACATAGCTAATGTTAATATTTTACTTTTTTTCCTTTTCATTTTGTGTGTTTCAGATTCTTTATCACAGAAAATGTAGCATAATATATATATATATATATATATGTGTGTGTAATGAAGATTTATAAAAATCAACTTAATTCAAAAGGAGTAAGATTTACATTTTAAGTAGTCTCCTAAGCAATGAATTCTACTTAAGAGTAGCAAAGACTGAAATTTATACACAGAGCTTGAATATGAGCTACTTATAAAAGGCAATACTATAAAATGTATCAAAATATTTTCAAATTACAAAAATATAAATTGTAACAAAAACAGAAAATTCTGTTTTTTGAGAATGTCATTTTATAACTTTTTAAGTTTAATCACTCACACTTTATGTACAGAAAGAGTAGATAAATAAAATTTGCTATAGTTTAACACTGTATATATTATACAGAGTGAATCTGAGTACACAGGAGTCAAACATGAAATGTAATTTGACATATTTTCTTGATATAAAATACAGGAGTCTTTTGACCTACAAAATACAAAAATAATTAAAATATAATTTTATTCAAAATCATTTACCTAACAAATTTTACATTAAACAATTATGGACAAAGAAAATGACTTCATTCTAAATTTAGGAATACTTCTCTTGTAATAAATTGCTTGACAATTGCAGAGGAACTTTTTTTATCATAACTAATGACAGAAATTGTTTAAAAAAATGAGACCTGAGACACAATAGAAATCCTGGAATATCATTACTATACAAAATGGAACAGTTATCAAAGCAAAGCAAATGGGAAAAAAAAAAAAAAAAGATGTTTATAGTGTCTATTTTCAACAGTTACGGAAAGTGCTCATTCAATACAAAATAAGGTTCAGTATGAGTGCATGTGTTGATCTCCTCAGACACTGATGCATCTCTGTTATTTGTTATCTATGCTGTCCACTAAACTGCTGAGAAGAGTTTGGGGGAATCTGCCCCACTTGTCTTTCAGGATGATTTCGAAATCTTGTAGAGTTAGAAAAAAGGTTCTGTCTCTAAGCGGTATGTCTGCCAAATGCTTCCCAGGTATATATTATAGGATTTAGATCCAGGGAGTAAGCAGGCCATATGATGTGCTCAATACCTTTCCTTAAGATAGACACTTCAGCTGTCCTATGCAGACAAGCATTATCACCCATAAACAAAAAATACCATGGAAAAGACCGACATGACACAGAATTTGGGTGCAATACTGCTGGGGTGTCATTGTACGATGCGCAAAATAAAAGGGGAACAATTCTAATCTCCGGTTCTATTGGACCGATTGAAAAATTCAACTTGTGTTTTTCATGTCTTGAAAGTGCGACTTATGATATGTATTAGATTTATATACACTGAAGTGAACACTGAAGTCATGGGATACCTCCTAATATTTTGTCGGTCCTCCTTTTGCCTGGCAAAGTGCAGCAACTCGACATGGCATGGACTCAACAAGTCACTGGAAGTCCCCTGCAGGAATATTGAGCCATGCTGCCTCTATAGACGTCCATAATTGTGAAAGTGTTGACGATGCAGGGTTTTGGGCATGAACTGACCTCTCGATGATGTCCCATAAATGTTCGATGGGATTCATGTCAGGCGATCTAGGTGGCCAGATCTTTCGCTGGAATTGTCCAGAATGTTCTTCTAACCAATTGCGAACAATTGTGGCCCTGTTACATGGTGCATTGCCATCCATAAAAATCCCATCATTATTTGAGTACGTGAAGTCCATGAATGGCTGTAAGTGATCTCCAAGTAGCTGAAGGTATCCATTTCCAGTCAATGATCGGTTCGGTTGCACCAGAGGACCGAGTCCATGCCATGTAAAAACAGCCCAGACCATTATGGAACCACTACCAGCTTGAACAGTGCCTTGTTGACAACTTGGGTCCATGGCTTCGTGGGGTCTGCGCCACACTCGAACCCTACCATCAGATCTTACCAACTGAAATCGTGACTCAACTGACCAAGCCACAGTTTTCCATTTATTTAGGGACCAACTGATATGCTCACGAGTTCACGAAAGTCGCTGCAGGCGATGTCGTGCTGTCAGTAAAGGTCGAGTCGGTCTTCTGCTGGCATAGCTCAAGGAAGACAAATTTCGCCGCACTGTCCTATCGGACACGTCCCTCGTACGTCCCACATTGATTTCTGTGGTTATTTGACGCAGTGTTGCTTGTCTGTGAACATTGACAACTCTACGCAGATGTCACTGGTCTCGGTCGTTAAGTGCAGGTGGTCGGCCAATGCGCTGTCCATGTTGGGATGTTATGCCTGAAATTAGATACTCTCAGCACACTCTTGACACTGTGGATCTCGGAATGTTGAATTCCCTAACGATATCCGAAATGGAACGACCCATGCGTCTAGCTCCAACTACCATTCCGCGTTCAAAGTCTGTGAATTCTCGTCATGCGGCCATAATCACGTCAAAGCCTCTTCACATGAATAACTTGAACACAAATGAAAGCCCACCAAAGCACTTCACATTTATACATTTTCTATGCGATACTTCTGCCATCTGTATATTTGCATATTGCTATCCCATGACTTTTGTCACTTCAATGTATAGCATTGTTCTAATATCGGTATTTTGACACAAAATCAGACTTTTTCTGAAATAACATACCAATTTTTTTCCATATTGAAATTCTACCACTCAAATTACCAAGCTCTGTAAAAATCGCACAAGTAGTTTTTAAAAAATTAGCTCTCAAAATTTTAGCTTCTCAATGTTGAGTTTGGTATATATTGATTAATCTCTTTTTTTTATTAAGCTTATTTGATTCTTCCTTTCCCATTTTGAAATTCAGGTTCACTTCAAATAAAATTCAACCCCTCTTTTTTTTTTAATTTTGTATTTTAAAATAATTTTTATACATTTTTCAAAAAATAATTTGAATTGTAAGCTATAAAATCTTTACCATTATCTTAAAAGTAGATGTATTTCTAATCATACCTGCAATTTTTTATTCAAAATTTCTGAAGATATACGTGAATTCATATATTGGCGTGTTTTAAAATTTGGCATACTTTTTGAAAGAGATAAAACATCAGATGTGGTTTAAACACTTCGCTAAAAATATTTGGAAGTGGAAATAATGTGACTTTTTTTTCTGCTCATACACAATGTAAAAAGGTAGGAACAAGGTGCCTTTTTTTCCACTCCGGCATAATGGAAGGGAAAGGAAAATTGGTTGGCATATATTAAGAAGTTCATCAAGTGAATTATTCTTAGCCAAGCTGAAAAAATTTCGCCAAGATAAATTTTTGAATTTCTTTGTAAATTTTGCACCAAATTTTACAAAATTTAATATCTGGGCATAATTTGAGTCATAGAATCGAAATATGGAAAACAACTGGTATGTTATTTCAGAAAAACTCTGATTTTGTATCAAAATACCTACGTTAGAACAGTGCTATATTATATATATATATATATATAATATATATAATATATATCCTAAGTCGCACTTTCGAGGCATGAAAAACGCAATTTGAATTTTGTCAATCGGCCTAGTACAACGCGAGATATAGAACTGTCCCCCCTTTTTTTTTGCACAGTGTACCTCTATAAAATAGAATAACAGTTCTGCTATTAGACATGATAGCTGCCCCTACAATTACTCCTTGACCAGAGCAAACAGTTTCCTGAACATCTTGGAGATGAGTTTCCCTCTCTTTCAACACTCAATGCTGTCCAGAATCACTTTTGATGGTAATGCAGGATTCATCAGAGAACATAACTCTGGACTACTGTTACTGAGACCAACAAATGTGTTCCTTACACCAATGTAATCTTTCCTATCAATGGTGTGCTTAAAATAATGCATGCAACAGGCTTCCATGCACATAAATGTTGTATAGGGAAAATTTTATGAACAACCAGTTCAAAATGATAAAAACTTGGAACTCTTAAAGCTGTACTATGGTAGACAAATAAACAATGCAGCATATGAAACACAAATAATCATTAATTGTTTCAAAAGTTTTTACACATATAAAACAATGTCAATACATGAAATACAATATTAAATTCCTTAGAAAAATATTAGGTCCTAACTAAGGCATACAAATATGCATGAATTTACTACTCAAATTTATAATGTATCTGGAGGGGGGAGAATTGACTGGTTGGAATTAAATGTAAATTCATCTTCTAACATTATAAAATCCTTACTATATGCTAAGAGGGGGCAAGAAGTACTTTTGTGGGATGATATTCCGAGTTTCAGCAGAGTTATATCACATATTTTTTGGTTTAAATTCATAGTTGCTTTCAAAAAAATAAAAATTCTGAACAGTAGCACATAAATATATTACACTAACCAGAGGGTTCACCAATTCAAGCACATTAAAATCATCATTCCCAATAGCAACTGCACATTTTCCATAACAGCAGGATCTGAAGCAGCAGAATACACACAGGTCCAAACCATCAAAATTACAAAGGAAATGGAATCAGACACTCAAGAAGTAAACTCTTACTAAGATGTCATAGACAGGAACTCTTCACACTGGTCACTGTTCATCTCATCAAAATCAGAAACTACACATCTTCTTAAATTATAATTAATGAAGACACTTTGGAAACAACTTCTTAAACATCAGATGACTAGACCCCGATCAGAAACAAGAATATAATATCACAGTTCAGTCCACTTTTTTATCTCAAAAATTAAACTGTTCATAAATAGCACTTTATATTTTTTGGTTCTTTATACCCTTTTTACTCTCATCATTTCTACGTCCTCATAGCATTAAAGGTTCCTCAGAACATCAATCCACAGAAACTTTCTCCTACTTCTCTTTTCTCTCCATTTAAACAATATTTTTAATTATTTATCCCTTTAACTAATTATTAATTAAAACTTGCTTCTGATACACCTTTCACATGATTTTACATTGGTCAAAGAATATGTCACACTACTTCTTTCTCAACAATTAGAAGCACGCTGGAATTAAAATTACCTTGCCCTCGTTGTGCCATGAGAGATTAACACTCCCCCCCTCTCTCTCTGCATAGCAGGAGACCCAGGGCATTAGATGAAACAAAAGTCTGCAGCTATCTAGCCAGGAAAAGCATTTTTGTCACTAGAGCAACATTTCTCTCCTTTTTTAGGTATGATGGTCCTCCTACAGCTCCAGCATGCTTTTGCACAGTACATCCACTTTCAGCATCTTTCTCAACAGTGAGATTCTCTGACATACTTAACTGCTATGGCACTTCAGCAATACTTTACCCTGCTTTGGGGCATTCAATTGCTCAATTACAATTATACATAGTTAAATGATGTCTTACAAATCACTTTAGTGATTTGAGAAGTTGATACAGATAAGTGAGGCTAACATGCCTCTTGCTCAGTTTGTCAAAAGACTTTCTTTTCTAGGAATTACAACGAGATTAGAAGTACACTGAAGTTAAGAGAGAGTACAACAGTATACTGTAGTACGTGTTCTGAAGAAAAATGTACGTAAAGTATGCTAAATATCTTTAATGTTATTTAAGGATTATTTGGATTACCTCTGCATATGTTAGAATAATCCACAAAATTTAATATATCACATGCATATATAAAGACACACTTATACAACACCTTAACATAGGAGGATTGTTTCTGTATTTATTACAGTAGTTACAAATTAATAAAAAAATGTAATTATACTTTTATTAAGGTACACACTAAATAATAAAAAATGACCACTTTATGAATTTATACAATAATTACCTGTTAATAATTTAAGTGCTAGCAACATCTTCGTTTTCCTTTTCCTGAAGATTTACCACCTAATCGTATTGTGCTATCACCTCCTTTCTGTTGCTGCTCTTTGTGCTCTCGTTTACTTTGTAAAACCATTTTTGTTATTTCATTGAACATCTATTCCAAAAATAAATAAATATATTATATATAAAAAGTAGAACTTTTAGAAAGTCTCTTAGTTAATGCAAAAAGCTTAGCTTAACTGTATCACCATGGCCCAAAAATATATCACCCAATAAAAAAAATTATTTGATATGGAAATCAAGTAAAATTACATATTTTTAACAGATATTATAACAGATTTTTGTATCTTAGAGATGCCAAAAAAAAGATAAATATAACCAGAATAAATGGAACATTTTCCCTCTAGTTACATGACAAGAAAACAAACCCCCCCCCCAAAAAAAAAAATTACAGCAGAAGCATGATTACCTCAGATAATGTGGAATAACATTACCTTAGATGACTCAAAAAATGGCTAAAGGGATACCTCAAAGCATGTTTAAATTACAAAATGGCAGCCATGTCACCCCGCAATTATAGATGTATAATTTTTATTCATATAGTTTATCAATAATTAATATTTATATAGTTAAATTTTTATCTTAGTGTAACATTATATTGGAAAAAAAAACTGCAATAATTCTTGTATAAATGGTTTGCCTAGCATTGCAATTAAAAATGATATAATAAAAGATTTAAGAAATTCAAAAAATAATAATAGTAATAATAATAGTAACATGCCATACATTTTGAACTTTTATAAAAATATCATTTGGAGATTTTGCATCAACAATTCAGCACTGTATCATTATTTTCTAAAAATAACAGAAATCTTTATGCAGAAGCTTCCCTTTCTGTTGTCACCATGTCACAATGTGTATGTATGTAAAGCTTTACAATATACTCTCAATGTTCATCAAATAATGACCAAACTTCCCAAAATGCAACAGACAGCTTAAATTATCAAATGGCCTGAGCTACTGCAGCCGAGCCTACTCAGAATACTTATGTACCAGAATTTTAGTCTATATGATAAATAGAGAGAAGAGGTGATAATGGCTGTATATGATTCAATGGTATGTGGTTCAGGTTATTCAACCACTGGAACCTTAACAACAGTGGTCAAATGCAACCTATTATTGAGAAGTGAAGAATAGGCAGTGGCAAGAAAATGGGACAACTGCCACCTACGGACATGCAACGATAGATGAGAAAGTTTCACTGCAGAGTAAACATTAAAAGGATCATAAAAACTCAACAAAGCATCAGCATTCAGAACCTGCAGACAGTTTAAAACACCCAAATCTCAGACGACTATAAAATGTTCATTAGCATTTATGAGCTTCTGCACTAGATACAGCTGCGAATATGCGTGTGCGCATGCGCAAAATACGTTTACAAATGCACGTTTAATGTATAATGGACAGTATAAGCTAAGCTAAAATTATCTAATTCAATTAATGTTGCAGATTGTGTTGTTCCTTAATCTTCGAACTGGATTCTGCTTATTATTTTTTGCAGACTGTTAGAGCAATTTTATAAAAGTAAGCTTGAACTTTCGATTATGTCAAATATTTCTGATATATATTTACTAATATGTAAAGAATCTACAAAGCGAAAGTATGTTTCAAAGTCCATTAAACCAAAAGTGGCATTGCTGCAAAAAATGAATAAAGGCATATCGTTTGTTTACTTAACCATTCCGAAATCTGTTTATAAACTTCATGCTGCTCTGAGGCGGAAGGGGGGGAACGCCTCGGCGTGCAATGAATTGGAAGTTGATCTGTCAGCACTATCCTTATCTTCAGGGCAGATGTTTTTATTTTATTTGGCTTATAATTCCTTACTAAATGTAGTATTTCATCTCGATGTACTCCGTCTTTGATATGATTTAAATCAAATTCCTCGTCATTATAATTCGCTTCCGATAGCGAAGAAAGTGACACAGATGTTATTGAAAACGAAAAAATTTCGATTGACAAATTAGTCGGTATTCTCGACACAGCAATTATAGGACTTGAACAGCAGAACTTTGTAACTAAACAAGAAATTATGTCTGTTTAATAGAATTAAAGAGAAAGTATTATTACATAAAAAACGAAGCAATTTAAAAACAACTTACATTGAAAGAAATGTTTAATAAAGTAAACAAATAAATATTAAGCCTTTTTTTTTTTTTTTTTTTGTAAATTTTGATACCCTTTAGATCATAATTGCTCTTTATTTCATAAATTACGGTTTCATATTTTTAATTTTATAATTTCTGCATGCCATCTTACCAGATTTAAACTGATTATCTATAATCCGGAAAAATCGATAATCCAGAATCACCGAAGTCCCGACAAGTCCGGGTTAACAACTTTTGACTGTATATGGATAAGCTGTATTAAAAAAAAAACTTTGTGAAAAATGTTTTTGCACTTAGTATGTTGTTCATAGCAAAGATTTTATGAATTATAATAAAACGAGGGTTTGCAGGTTGTCTCTGATACTGTTGAACCTAAATTAACACTAGAAGTTTTCAAAAATGGTCTGTGTAGAACAAAGCATGCGGCCATTTGTTTATGCTATCGAAAAATATTTTTCCTTAAACTGAATATGACATTAGAAATTCTCATTAAAACAAACAAATCTTTCTCATTAATTTAGTGCATTTTACCATTACATTTCAATGAAAAAAAAAATAATAATGATAAATACAAGGAAAAAAAAAATATTTTTCTGCATGATTCATTATTTTTCCACAGATAAGAATTTATTCCCTTACCTAATAATTAAAAAAATGCAAATTTCTATCAGAATAAAAATCCCCAACATATATTGGCTTCCAAACGTTAAAGACACACGACATTAAAATCAACAAAAAATGAAACAGAAAAGTTTTGATTAATATTAAATTGCATATGAAGGTAGCAAATGTGTTTATACATGAGAGTAAACAAACATTATTTACAAAGATGAAAGCAATACGTGATTTCCGTTAATTATGTGATGAGATCACATTTGGATCATTAATAAACTGATGTTTAAAGCTAAAAACAAACAAAATATTAATAAGATATGTGATTAAGTAACATTAAGTAACAAGTAAGGTATGTGTTATGTAACAACATTTAATAAGCATAATGTCATAAATGCTTCATTATTTCATAACTATTTAATATTTTTAATTTTATAATTTCTATATATCATTTTAACTACATCTTCATTTCCTACATATCATTTTACTACCATTTCTATGAACCATTTACATTAATGATTTAAAATCCAAAGATTTTTGAAATCCAGCGCTGATAATGACTGACATACTGATGACTCTGGATCTCGTACAAGACAAATTAGTAGCACAAGAGAAAAAAAAATTGTTTTCCATCAGGAAGCCTAGGATAAAAAATCAGAAACTGGCAAATCAAAAGCTCAAAAAATACGAGGGCCATCATCCAGGAAGTAGATTACGTTTCCGTCTGTGTCCGCTAGGGGCGGGGCTAGCGCGGCCATCTTGGGGTCAGAGCGTTGCGCAGCTCAGTCTGCATCTAGCCGTGCTAGTGAGAGGTTCGTGCTGTGCTCCGTTCAGATACTGTGACGGTTTGAAATGTCTGCGTTAATTGAAAATCCCGCGAGCTGCGAGGTGCGCTCAGTAATAAGGTTTCTGACTGCAAAAAACTGTAAACCGATAGAAATCTATCGGCAGCTTCGTGAAGTGTATGGGGACAACATTATCACTGAAGGTGGAGTGCGTCAGTGGGTCATAAGATTTCAAAATGGCCGAACCAATGTTCACGACGAAGATCGAAGTGGGAGACCCAGCATAGTGACCGCCGAACTTCTCGAAAAAGTCGATGCTAAAGTCCGTGAAAATCGAAATTTCACAATAACGGAACTTTCTTTGAGTTTTCCACAAATTTCGCGAAGTTTGTTGCACGAAATCATCAGCGAAAAGCTTGGTTACCACAAGTTTTGTGCAAGATGGAAGGCAAGAAGAGGTAACGAAGTGGTTGAAGGCGCAGGCGGCCGAATTTTTCGACGAAGGAATTTCCAAGCTCGTACATCGCTACGATAAATGCCTTAATTTGTATGGTGACTATGTAGAAAAGTAGTATTTGAGTGTGGCTTTCATCTGTATATATATAAAATTTGTTTCCTATACTTTGTTTATTTTTTTATTCCAAAACGTAATCTACTTTCTGGATAGCCTCGTCTAATAAGAACTCTCAAAACGAGCTTTAAGGCAAAATAACCTGATTTTTATTAGCTGGATTCAGATTTAGAATTCCTTATTTCTCATTATGATACTTATTTCAAATCAGATTATTCATATCAGATACTAAAATCCTTGTTAACCAGTGAACAGATAACAGGTGTTAGCCAGTGAATGTTAACAAAACACATCCTATGAGATTTATTTAGATATGGAAAAGCACAATGCATATTTTCTACATTTGCAACATGATATAGCAATCATACACATTTAATGATTGAAAAAGTATTTACAATTTACATGATTTTAAACAACACAATTTTAGTATAATGTAAAATAATTAAATTAATGCAACCCACCTCTTCTACATTTATGTTTTCTTTAGCACTAGTTTCAAATAATTTAATTTTCATCTGTTCAGCAAAACTTTGAGCATCTTCAGTTAAAACAACTTTTCTTTCGGGATCATCATTTTTATTACCAACTAAAAGATAAGCATGATGAATGTTAATGGACCTTAAGTACATTTCAACTAAAGCAAATGAATACTTATTACAGAGGCATAAAAATTTGTATTTGTAAGGATATTTATTTACATATGCCACAATGTAAGAGAACTCATCTAATTTAAAAAAAAGATTTCAATATTCTCACTGTTACTTTGCAACTTAAAAAAATACTCACTGTAAAATAAAGTATTATTTAATGATATTCCCTCATTAAAACAGTAATCCCATATTTCTCTGGCAATAAGTTGGTGATTAATATATGAGAATCAAATCAGTTTCACATTACAAAATTGGCGATTAAATTTCTCAAATTTGGTAACTAATTGTGGTGGCTATTTTAATGAGGAAGTAACAAATGCGCATAGATAGATATAATAATTTAGGACAAAAGACTCAGATACTACAAGCAAGGCTGATAAAACAATTTTTTTCTATTCTTGCAAAGTACAATTTAATTTTTTTTTTTTTTTTTTTTTGATTATGACGAATCATACAAAGATTATCTGCGGATGAGAAGAGGTGCCTTCTTAGAAAACTTTTTAAAGGGAAACTAGCTCGCATCCATATTACACACTAGGAAAAACACCCACATGCAGCCAACCCATTCACTTAAATTTAAACCCAAATTGAACTACCAGTGTTCAGCAGCTCCATCACACATCCAATTTGGCCACTTCTATTAAGGTGGTTACATTAATATGCAAATACTGATTGCTTTTATGATACAGAGATGTGAGATTTTCTTCCACACTAATTTTTAATCCTTTGTCAGCATTAAAATGCTCTTAAAATGTTCTTCTAACTAAAAATATATACAGTCAAAAGTCGTTAATTCGGACACCCATAATTCGGAATGATCTATAATCCGGACCTCAAAACTAAAAACTTTCTGCGCATGCGCCGCGTTGACACATGCGCATAGGGCGTTTACGCGTGCGCGAAGACCTTTTACGACTGTGCATATGAGTGTGCGCAAGTGCAGAATACGTTTTCGCGTGCGCGTTTTATGTATAATGGACGTATAAGCTAAAATTATCTAATTATCTATTTCAATTAATGTTGATGATTGTGTTGTTCCTTAATGTTCGAATTGGATCCGGCTTATTATTTTTTTGCAGACTGTAAGAGCAATTTTACAAAAGTAAGCTTAAACTTTCGATTATATCAAATAGAATTTCCGATATATATTTGTTAATAAGTAAAGGATCTAAAGCGAAAGTATGTTTTGAAATCCGAAATCTGTTTATCAATTTCACGCTGCTCGGCGGGGGGAACGCCGCAGCGGGCACGTAATGAATTGGAAGTTGATCTGTCAGCACTATCCTTATCTTCAGAACAGATGTTTTTATTTTATTTGGCTTATAATTCCTTACCAAATTAGTATTTCATCTCAATGTGCTCCGTCTTTGATATAATTTAAAACAAGTTCCTCGTCATTTGACAAATTAGTCGGTGTTCTCGACACAGCAATTATAGGACTTGAACAGCAGAACTTTGTAACTGAACAAGAAATTATGTCTGTTTAAAAGAACTGACATTAAAAGAAATGTTTAATAAAGTAAACAAATAAATATTAAGCTTTTTCTTTTTGCAAATTTTGATACCCTTTAGATCATAATTGTTCTTTATTTCAAAAATTACGGTTTCATATTTTTAATTTTAGAATTTCTGCGTGCCATCTTACGAGATTTAAACTGATGATCTATAATCCGGAAAAATCGATAATCCGGAATCGCCGAAGTCCCGACGAGTCCGGATTAACGACTTTTGACTGTATATAACATTTTTCAATTCTAAAGAAAGGGGGGAAAGAAGAAAAGCTTCCTAATTAGTCAATGAAAAAAATCCTTTGAGTATCAAATTATGTAAAGGTGCTACTTTGGTAGACGGTTGCACGGATTTTGGCAATTTTTTGGCAATTTTTCTTTTGGCAAGTAATACAACTTATGGTAAACCCATTGCTGGATAAGTTATTTATGGTAACCGATACTTTGTTGTCATTTTATTTTTAAAATAATGCGTTTTATTATGCATAAATTCCGTGTTTTAAATATTATTTATGACTTCTAAATATTAAAAATCAATTTAATTTTGCATTTTTATTTGAAAGAAAAATTTTTTTTATAACATTGGTACCATTCAGTTTTGAGGGCTGTAAAAAATCGCCAAACCATTGTTGATGCCAATGCTGCCAAAAATAATTGCGGCAAGAAAGGAAGTATAATAGTAAATAACCATCTAAGATTGATGTTTTAATTTAGATGAAAGGTTAATTTCATATAATACTTTTTTATTATTAGAGAATTTATATGAAAAAGGCTAAACATGACTGAATGGAAGTAAAAGAGTAAATAACTATTTCAGATCATTATTATAAATTATATAAAAATTGCTAAACATAACGAATGCCTGTATTGCTATTTCGCTACCGACTTATCGCTAAAGCATAATTTCATCTCATTGGTTGTTCAAACGTAATTTTCTATAATGAATGATGCCTTTTCTTTGAAAATATTCTCGCTAAAGTGCAGAATCGCTCACTTATTTGTTTGCCACTTTTCACAAGGGTAAAAACAATTGGATTTTTTTAAATTTTCTTTTACTTTTTAAGTGAAAATTGGTCAATGTGTACATAGATAAAGCCAAGGGTGTGCGCAGTGCCATTTTTGTGCAATTCTGGAATTTTTTTAAAAGTGAAAATAGGTTGATGTATACATGGATACCGAGTATGTGCAGTTCTTAAAAATGCTTCAAGTAGTGGCTGATTCTGCATTTTACCCAAAATTCTATTGCACTCTTTTTATCATGGGCAATTCCCAAATTTTTAAATTCATAGGATATCAAAAAGAATTTAAAATCAAAAAAGGATTTAAAAATTAAACTAGTATTTCAATGGCGTCGTAAAAAATATAGAACTATATAAACTGACGCAATCTGAAATCAGTGCGTACGCTAGATTTGGCTCGCTGTTAAATGGGCACGTTTGCTAGATCTGGCGCTTTTGCGCATATATTTTAGCTGCAATTTTTTACGGTCCTCAAAACAGAATAGTACCATAATATTTTATGTAATTTTATGTTGTGGATGATGCAATCAATGACGTCACCTTACTTAAAAATTAATTGGTTTTATTAATATCTATAAATTTAATCTAATGTTTTAAACATTATTTATGGCTGTTAAATATTAAAATACAATTTAATTTTGCATTTGTTTTAAAAATGATTTTATTATGAATGATTATTTAAATAATTTTAATTCTATGAGTGATGCAATCAGCTCCCTGATTGGTTACTGAATATTTGTGCATTACTGCGCCATTTTAAAAATTGATTATTCATCTCTTCGAATTCCTCAGATTTCAAATGGAATGGATATGACCGTTTCGAAGATGAATTTTGTTATTGGTAATTACAAAGAATTATTGGTATCAGAATAAAAAAATTGCCCTTTGAGACCTTATTTTGGCTAACCTAGCTTTCCTAATCAAAGATTTATTTATAAATTGTTAATAGCATCAGAGGAAATTTATTTAAAATTTTTGGAGAAAACCTCGCTGATTGCTTTTTCAATGAAGTGTGAGAGATGTGGATCACACAGATGAAGATCGTCAGCGGACCCCCCCCTTTTTTTGTGGTACTTATCAATATATGACAGGTTAAAAAAATGTAAGTATATAATTTTCTTTTACTTTATAATTGTATACTTCAATTTTTATTAAAAAATTAATACAATGTTTCCAAAATTCCTCAGATATTTATTGCTGCATATGTTTTAATGTTAAATAATTAAATCCTATAAAACTTATCTTAAAGTATTTAAGTAATATTTTAATTCTTTTAAACGTTGGTATGAAATTTTTAATTCAATATTCAATTTAAGTAATATTTTAATCCAATTAAATGTTGCGCAATGTTTTTATACCTGTGTTTTTATTCTATTATATGAAAGTAATAATTTAACCTTACTTTAGCATTTTATACTCTTAGTAAAGGTATTTATTTACATTTGCCAGCCATCTTAAAAAACAACGTTTTCAACAAAAACATTAATCCATTACTTTTTAACGATATCTATTTTTTTAAAGTTTCGAATACTTTACTAATGCGTAAAATACATATAAACAGCATTTTTCAAGATGGCTGACGACTGTAAAAACCGCGCCAACAATTGCACCAATGTAAATCGCCAAAAATCCGTGCAACCGTCTACCAAAGTAGCACCAATGTAAATAACTTGAATAGAATAAATCTAACCCAATCAACTGTGTAACAATTTTACAAAAATACTTTGGATAATGCACATTTCAGTTAGAAATTCTTAACAATTAGAAATGGTAATGAAAATTTCAGTTAGAAATGGTTTTAAAAGATTCAAACAGCATGTATTCTGAATGAATAATAGTCTCTGTGCTTATTTTTCCCTTATCCCAAATGCTACTTCATTACAGGTACTTAATCCAGTAAAAATTTTGCTTTTTACAATTAAAAAACTGGTCAAAAATAAAAAATCCTCTGCAAGATTCAAATCCATCTAAATTTATAGAGAAATAACATAAAGCAAAGTATTTGATTTACAAAAGAGGTCAAAATGTGAAAAATATTCCTAACAGATACACTTTAATATACTTGTATATTAATAAAATTTACTACTTGCACACATAAATATACATTATACAGAGAACTTACTAATAAAGAACATAGTTTACATTTTTACAATAGCCATTTTATGTCTGGATGACAACAGTAATGAAAAAGATGTAAAGTAAGAATAATGTGGTTAGTTTTTCATTAAAAAGTTTACTATAACTCTGCATCAAATACAATAAACTTAAATTGATATATTTTTTAATAAAAAATAGTACAAAATATATCAATTACTGCTGATAAATTTGATTAATACATACCCAGTATTTTATTTACCATTTCACAATTTTGGTCTATTTCATGTAACCATCTCTTCACGTTTGCAAATGACTCTCCATTGGTGACATCATAAACTACAATTACACCATGAGTACCCCTGTAATATCTAAAAAGGAAAATATTTTTTTAAAATAAATTTTACGTCATAAAAATTTAAGTTCCAAAAACAATCAACAACTTTTTTTTTTTTTTTTTTTTTTTTTTTTTGCTGGAGAGAGGAAGAACTGTTCTTTTTATGACATTTTAATACACAGAATTTTACTTCTTTCTGTAAAAGCATTCAGTGAAACTTCTTGTTTAAATGGCACAAGGCAGAGAAAATATCCCTAATTCATACATGATATATTAATTAGCATTTAATGATCTTTAATGGGGGTGACTAACAATCAAGCCTGACATCAGAATTAGCAATAAACCAAAAAACCAAATGATACTAAACAAAGCAAAAAAATAAAGCATAAATTATATCACAGACATACAACCCAAATCATTAGAAATAATATTAAACAATGTATCTCTTTGAAAATTGGGATACACAGAACAAAGTGGTAGGCTTGGAGGTGTTGGCAGTGATGATAGTGTGTTAAGCTAAGTTATCAAAGATTTAATACAGTAAAAGGTACTTACCCTATCATTCCATTGACCTTGAAACTGACATCAAGCAGTGTGATTTAGCACCAATTATGGATAAGAAACAACAAGTTTATAATGTCTGCACTATTCTATTTGATGTAATCACAATTGTTCGCAATAAGCCATGTTTTGTTTTTATGATTAAAGCTATAAATTATTTGTTACTGCTGTACTTTCCTTGATGTTTTTTTTTTGGGGGGGGGAGGATAAGATTAAAATTAGGGATTTGCATTTTACAGAACAGCAAGCAGGAGATTATTTTCAAAGTTGCAAAATCCTAACATCAAAAAAGTATGGGTAGTGTTCCGTTATCAGGACCAGGTGTCCAGAAATGTGTGTATATATAGATGTATGTGTTCATGTATGCATGTATATATATGTATGTATCTCTGTGTCTACAATATATATATGTGCACATACATATATACACATGTGCATACATACAAACGCTTCTGAATCCGGTCTTGATAACAGAAGAGTACCAAAGTATGTATTAATGAATACAATATTGTCAACAAAACAGAAATAGATTGAAACAATCTGTGGGAGGTTTGTACTTATAGCACTCTAAACAGAGCTTCTGGTAAAATTGAAGAGCCTAAAAAAATAGTAGAAATAAAGGTTGATCTTTACAATATGGTAACTGGTAGTTTGGCGACATTTTGGAGGCGATAAAGGTTACTACCTGGGACTTTGGTAATAATGTGAGCAGTACTCAGTTCCGATTACGCATTATTTTGCGTGAGGGAAATGAGAGATCATGGGATATGTCATGTGATATTAATGGACGAATTACGGTTCTTCAATCGGAAAAGGGGGGAAATCGGGAAAAAATGTGGAAATTTTGTATTTAGCTTTATTCTGTGTTGTGTGAAACAGTGTTGTTTAATTTTTGGATCCCATGGCCCTAACTAAAGTGAATTCGAAATGGGTATTTAGGCATTGTGATAAAGAGAAGTTTGCTTTTTATTTAGCAGAGGAAGTATGGAGGAAAAATTCGCATAAAAAATCTTTCAATAATTTTATTGAATGAATTAGAAAAGTGTATCCGCCACGTAATCAAGATTCTGAAGAAGATTAGGTAAGTTAGTATTTTTAATTATTTGAGGATATTATTTTTATGCATTGTTCTAAATGTAAGGTGGAAAGGAATTTGGTATTATTGGGAAAATTGTTATTAGCAATGATTTAGTTTAAAGTAATTGGGATTGTAAGGTAATTTTTATTAATTTAATGTATGTGCTCATTTATATTTTAAGTAGTGTTTTTGAATTTAATTATATTTTAATGAAATGATAGTTATTTTGTGAATTTTATGTTTGTAGGAATTTGGTATACGTTTAAGTTGAAATAAACGTGCATGGAAATAATTTAAATATTTGATACTAAGTATTTGTAATGCTTGCGGTATGAATTCGTTGGTGACGTGTATAATGTAATAGATGATTTAGAGGTAAAAGTTTTGGATATTTTATTTATTTTATATGTGGAAATGTTCATATTTGTAAAGGGTAAATACTTTTTCGCGATCAGGTAAATTTCATATATGTTCTTTTTACCGGGTTTAAAGATTCAGAAAATTGTCATGTATTTTCGTGAAATTTTTCTAATTTATGAGAAAAAAGCAGTGTACATGGATATAGTGAAGAGTGTGCGCAATGCCATTTTTGTGCAATTCTGGGATGTTTTTTTAAGTAAAAATAAGTCGACGTGTACATGGTTTAGTGATATTTTAATTAAATGATAGTTATTTTGTGAATTTTATGTTTGTAGGAATTTGGTATATGTTTAAGTTGAAATAAACGTGCATGGAAATAATTTAAATATTTGACACTAAGTATTTGTAACCATTTGTAATATTTGCGGTACGAATTAGTTAGTGACGTTTGTAATATAACAGATAATGTAGAGGTAAAAGTTTTTGGATATTTTATTTATTTTATACGGGGAAATGTTCATATTTGGAAAGAGTATATACTTTTTCGCGATTAGGTAATTTCATATATGTTCTTTTTACCGGGTTTAAAGATTCAGAAAATTGTTATGCATTTTCGTGAAATTTTTCTAATTTATGAGAAAAAAAGCAGTGTACATGGATATAGTGAAGAGTGTGCGCAATGCCATTTTTGTGCAATTCTGGGATGTTTTTTTAAGTAAAAATAAGTGTACATGGTTTATGTGTATGTGTTATTTTGAAAAACGCGTAAGGAGTATGGTATTGTGCACTTTTCCCAATTTTGCAGTGAATATTTGTCATGATTAAGCAGTTTTGTTTGATAAAATTTCTAGCATAAGTGTAATTCGGCTAGTAGATTGTTGGAAGAAGTGTTCAGTAGATAAGAAGAAAAGAAACATGTCTTTACTTCGTGAAGACAAAATGGCGGCGGGGAAAAAAAAAAATAGAGGGTTGCTGTAGGAGAGTTGGTTGCCAAATTTTTGCCAAAAATCGCCAAGTTACCATAATGTAAAGATCAACCGAAATAAATTATAGCTTTTCACAAAAACAGAGCAGAGGGAGTATTGGTTATTTAACCCTCTGGCTGCTCATCCCGCGATTTCCACGGACAACTCAAATGTAGCAAAATCTGCTCATCCCGCGGACATGTGTTTTTCTTCCTTTATTGAGGAGCGCTTCCTGTTTAACCATTGAAATAAATTATATACAGTATTAGACGTTTAGTTTACATTTTGGACAACAGATATCGTTAGCTGTCCACTAAACTGCGGCATTTGAAGGCATGTGGTATTATTGCTCAATCTTCACCATTTGCCGCATTTTTTTTACAGATATGGCTGCTAGAAAACGTTCAGCGATTATCTTAATCATTTAATCAAATTATTGAATTATTAAATAAAAAAATTATTGAATTATTGACTAGATTAATAATTGGATTGATTATTACTTAGATTATTTGAATCTGGTGCAAAGACTGTGAAATTGGACTTTGCCTTGAACCCAGTTTTGAACTCTATAATTCTAAATTGCATTTCTAAGGTATTTCTTCCCTCAATACTTCATATTTTTTTAATTTTACACATTTTACTTTTTTATATTATGCAATAAATAGAAATTAATTATAATTCGACTGAATTTTTTTTTTTTTTTCTGATAACATCTGAAATTGGTTTTTCTGGCAACTTAGTTTCTCATGATAAAAATCTATATAAAAAATGTTGGTACTTACGTATTATCGCAACCAGGTTGGCGCGATTTGTAAGTTTGAGTAAAAAAGTATGAATAGAAAGAAAATGTACATTTATTAATTACAGATAATTTTTAAATACAGTTTTTTATATTATTTTGTTTTAAAATATAAAATAGCAATTAAACCCTTCCGGTTTCGAATTTGAATAAGTTGCAGAATTATTTTTTCGGCAGAAATCTTTTGGCTATTGCTTTTAGCACTGATTGAAAACAGTCTTCGCCATTAACAGCTTGAGCTTAGCGCCATATAAATTCAATAAGGTATGAGTCAAGATGATGACGGGCTGTTCCTCTCTGTTTTTTGTTGTGCCATTTGGCTGAGCCCCACATGCGCTCTACATGCTGTGTGTGAACGCCCGTATTGGGATCCACAAAATTATATTTGTGATTAACAGTTCCATGCAGAAATCCAGCATTTTCGAACTCACTTGTATTGTATCCTTTCCAGCAATCCAAATAAATGATGCTTCCTTCCTTTATATTTTCGCAAATTTTTTCCATGAGGGTAACGGCACTTCTGTTAGGTACAGTAACCAAAAAAAATTTCTTTCTTTTCTTGGGAAATTCAGCCGAAAACCCATTGCTGTGGTAGTACACGCCCAGTGTTATTTTTTCTTTTTACAAATAAACTTTTGTCTATTTCCAAACACGTAGGGTTGCCATAAGTAGGGTCGCCAAATTTGGCGATTTATGCGAATTCTGGTTTGGTTGCTTTAATATGTAAGTACCAAAATGTTTTCTAGAAAGAAAATGTGCATTTTTCAATTCTCCAATATATAGAGATTTAAAATATGAAAAAAAAAAATTACACAATTTTTGAAGCGACTTTGGTCCACAAATTGAGCAGTTGGAGGGTTAATTAATAGATATTGTTACTTAATTCAGAATTCCACAGGAACAACTGATGCTACTTTCACAGTGGATGAGATAATATGGAAATACCCTGGAAAATTAGGAAACAACTTAAGAGACTATGCAGGGCCGGATTTAGACTTGATAAGGCCCTAAGATATTTGAGATATAGGGCCCTTTATAAGTCTAGATATTACATGTCAGTGCCAAATATAATTTTCGGATACCTACAGGGTTTGTTGAGGGGGCAAGAAAGCGAGGGGGCCCTAAGCTATAGCTTGTGTAGTTTATACGTAAATCCTGCACAGAGAGACTATGTCTATTTTACCATTAGTTAAGCCTATGATATCACCTAGACACCAAGAAATAAGGATGCCTATGCTATTGATAAATAATAAAAAAAGACAGATCAGTATGTCTTTTCATGTTTTAAGTCTAATAAATTAATAATTAATTTAATACAATCAAAAGTCTTTAATCCGGACTTCAGCAATTCCGGATTATAGATCACCAGTTTAAATCTGATAAGACGGCATGCAGAAATTATAAAATTAAAAATATGAAACCTTAATTTATCAAATAAAGACCAGTTATGATCTAAAGGGTATCAAAATTCACAAAAAGAAAAAGCTTAATATTTATTTGTTTACTTTATTAAACATTTCTTTCAATGTAAGTTGTTTAAGTTGCTTCGTTTCATGTGATAATACTTTCTCTTTAATTCTATTAAACAGACATAATTTCTTATTTAGTTACAAAGTTTCGCTGTTCAAGTCCTATAATTGCTGTGTCGAGAATACCGACTAATTTGTCAATCGAAATATTTTCGTTTTCAATAACCTCTGTGTCACTTTCTTCACTATCAGAAGTGAATTATAATGATGAGGAACTTGATTTAAATCATATCAAAGACGGAGTACATCGAGATGAAATACTACATTTAGTAAGGAACTATAAGCCAAATAAAATAAAAACATCTGCCCTGAAGATAAGGATAGTGCTGACACATCAACTTCCGATTCATTGCACGCCGCGTCTTTTCCCTCCCTCCCCTGCAGAGCAGCGTGAAATTGATAAACATATTTCGGAATGATTAGATTATCAAAGGATATGCCTTTATCCATTTTTGCAGCAATACCACTTTTTGTTTAATGGACTTCGAAACATACTTTCGCTTTGTAGATCCTTTACATATTAGTAAATATATATCGGAAATTCTTTTTGACATAATCGAAAGTTCAAGCTTACTTTTATAAAATTGCTCTAACAGTCTGCAAAAAATAATAAGCCAGATCCAATTCGAAGATTAAGGAACAACGCAATATGAAACATTAACTGAATTAGATAATTTTAGCTTAGCTTATACCGTCCGTTATACATTAAACGTGCATGCGTCGCAGAAAGTTTGTAGCTTTGAGGTCCGCATTATAGATCATTCCAGATTATGGGTGTCTAAATCAACAACTTTTGACTGTATAGAAAAAAAAAAAAATCTGAAAGTTTTCAGATTTTATAATATGCCCAAACGTGCTTTTTTAAGTTTTGCGTGTTACCTTTATTCATTAAATATCATGTTCTGCACACTTAAACCATAAAATTCAATTCAATAACAATATCACAAAATAATTTAAAACAAGCATATCTTCAGAATTTCTGATACACAGTCTCGAGTGCTGGAGATTTTTTTCTCCCTATACAGTGTTCCCATTGCTTGATTTGAAATCATCGAGTTTGTTAATTAAAAATTAATTAAAGTTTTCTTGAAAAGTGATGCACCGTTTATAGCGATTCAACGTAAAATGCCAAAACAAAATTAATAGCCCTTCTGGGAATTGCCCTTTGGGCTAATAAATAACATTTCCCTATTATTCACAGTTAAATGACAGATTCCCACTTTTATAGATTTCTACAGATTATTAAAGTAAAAGATTTGCAAAACTGTAAATCTGAAAAACACTGAAAAAATAAATAGGAATGGCTTTTAAAAAAACATCAAGTTATAAAACTGAGGTTGAGTTTCTTCCAGGACAGTGGAAGAAACTGGGAAAAACAGAAAGAAAAGGAAAGAAATTGGAAGTAATGAACAATGATGCTCCAACATGGCTCCTAAAAGAAAATAAATGTGTATACTAATAACATCTTAACTTACTGAAAATAAATGTTTTATTACCGTATTTCCTTGCATATCCCCCCTGGAGCTTGAGTTACCAGTAGTTTATTTAAATAATTTTTATTTGTTATTTTCTTGCTGTACTTATAAAATGAAAAGTAATTATGAATACACTACTGGTAACTATCAAGCTATGGTGGGGGGGAGTGTGACGAATTCGAAAGACAAGAGGTAGCATAAATAAATTTATTTGGGTTCTTTCTAGGTTATACGGAAAAAAATAAAAATAAATAAACTTATAAAATATTGTTCTCACGGTAGGGTGAATAAGTTCCTGTTTAGAACTCAGCCAAGATGAAAGTTCTTGTTTGGAAATAGTTCAAGATGAGGGCAGGCTCAAGATGAGGCTGTCTTGAATTAATAGAATCTCTAAGCTAGTGGTTGCCGCACTGAGCTGTGCCCGAGCAGGATGCTCTTCATAAGGTAGCGGTGAATCCGGCTATCTCACTGTAAATCTCTTGGCAGAGATATTAGTATCGCTCTATGCAGAACGAAGCAAAAATTTGCTCGTCGCCGAGCTGGAAAAAAAAAGGAGAGAAGGTTTTTCTCTTTACTTACTGCAACTAACTCTACTCGCTACCGATGAGTCCGGATTAACGACTTTTGACTGTATACATAATTACTAAGAGTTACTATAGGCATACAAATTAAGTTAAATCCACCAATGTAGTAGTGTTACAGATGAATAAAAAATAAATATAATATTAACATAAAAACAGAAAAAAATCAATTTCTCCCAATTAATTTTTTTCACGATGGAAGAAACTTGCAAAGTGTATGGAGAATATATCATTTTCAAAATTTTATGTTACCTTGATGCCTTTGTATTACATTAAATCAAGTGTATAATAGAAAGGAATGTGTCATTTCGGAAATTTTTTATGAACCATATAAGCGTAACTAAGGGTGAAGTTCAGCAGAATTAAAATAAATTTTCTTCTCTTCTGAATTTATCCATTCAAAATTATAAAATAAGTTATTTTATGCAATAACCTCTCCCTCTTCCCCCCCCAAAAAAAAGCTGTTTTGAACTCACTCCTACAGCCATTCCTTTTGCTTAATTATCAGTTTTTAGTGGTCTTATCCACAAGCTTACCAGTGGGCCTAAATGAATGTAAATGTGTAATATTTGAATTTTTCTTCAATATAATAAAATGATCATCATCTGCTAATGAATTTTATTGATATCACTACAACTAATCACAAAATGCTTCTATTTTTATCGGGGAAAGTGCAGACTCACCCACTGCTTCACACGTTTCTCAAAATCGCCAACTTGAAAATAACAAGTCAAAGAATTGCATAAACTTGGTATCCATATACACATCAGCCTATTCTCACTTTAAAATATATCACAGAATTGCACAAACTTGGCATTGCACACTCCCTTGACTTTGTCCATGTACACATCGATACGTGCCATATAAGTGGGCGATTCTGTATTAACTTGAAAACAACAAGTCAAAGAATAGCAAAAACTCGGTATCCATGCACACATCAACCTATTTTCACTTAAAAAAACGTCAGAGAATTGCACAAACTTGGCATTGCGCACTCCCTTGACTTTGTCTAAGTACATATCGATACGCGCCATATAAGTGGATGATTCTACACTTTACCACTTTTATCTTAAAGCCTAAAAATAATAATTTAATATATGCTTTCATATAATAAAGTGCAAATATGAATTTCAATATGTACATTTATTTATACATTATTCAACAATTAAATAAACATAACTATTTTTATTCTAACGAAGGCCTGTACCTCAATAGTTAATTTCACCTCTTTATGAATGAAACATTATATTTCAAAAAAACAATTTTTAGAAATCCTATTTACTTTAACATGAAATCATATTTACACTTTAGTTTGAAAATTTAAAAATAAAATTCTCACGTTGAAGTTATAGTTCTGAATCTTTCTTGGCCAGCTGTATCCCATATCTGCAGTTTAACTTTTTCACCATCGATTTCTAAGGTGCGTATTTTGAAATCAACACCTATTGTTGTTATGTAGTTACCTGAAAATTAATAAAAAATAAATAGTTCCCAAGAATGTTACGCACATATTTTATGATACACTTATCTTTAGGTAATAACTAATATCAATTGTAAATGTTTTCATTAGTAATTTTTACCTGAAAATGTGTTATCAGCAAATCGAAGCAACAAACTGCTTTTTCCAACACCTAAGGAAGAAAAATAATGCTCCAGTTAATAACTGCTTATAATTTACTAGATATCTTTTTACGCTATTTCAATTCTTTGCATAATACCAACATATTATTTACTAACAACTATTTAAATATAAAACAATATGGCTAAATATATATCAAAACAATAGAAAAACAAAATATATTCTTAAAAAACATACCACTGTCTCCAATAATAAGAAGCTTAAATAAGTGATCATATTCTCTGGTCATTTCAAATTTAAAAATAAAGCACTAGCTTTAAGCCAATATTTTCGCACTTATGACAAGCGGAAACAGGGGGGAGGGCGTTTATGATTCATACTTCGCTCGAGTTGCCTCGAGATGACATTCCGATTAAAAACGCGCACTTTCGATAACGCGCAATAAGGTTTGCAGAAAGAAATCTACAAGATTGAAAAAGAGCAATTAATCAAATTATATTTGTCATATTCAACTACATAAATACTAGCTAAGCTAATAAACTATTTTTGCATTATTATACATGGTTTTCGAAAGTGTTATTTTCTTACACATTACAAGAGTAATTATATAAAATTATAACCGTAATTTTACAAACTTTTTCAGCCCTTGCCTTCATGCAGAAAGACGTTTATCATGTGTATCCAAAAGTTTGTCTGCTATTGGACAATCGTCTGCTAGTCGTAATTTTACCCTCACCTGAAGAGTGTGATGAACAGTAAATTTTTAATTTATTATGATTAAATTTCAACAACCTTTTTAATTTTACTATTTAACATTTTTTTATTTATAAAATATGAATTATTTTTAATAAAACAAGTACGTAATAGTTTGTTTATAAACAGATTCCGAAGTTAATTCTTTGTGTAAAAAATAAACTTAGGATAGTACTATGAAATTCAAAAGTATAACTTCTCAACATATGCTTCTCTTGAAGCAATTCAGAAATTTTAAAACTTTTCCTGTTAGCGCATTTTCTACATCAGCGTTCAGAAACAGGTAAAAGTGTCTTGATTAATATACTTGTAGGTCTGTTTCATTTTTGAAATTATATTAAAATGGTAATGTGATTTGAGACTCTTACATTTAATCACTGGTGTCTTAAGAAAACAGTGTTGGACCCTAGCAGAGCTCACACCCTTGACACGAATGATTTTGGTTATGGCGCATATCGATATGTACATGGACAAAGTCAAGGGAGTGTGCAATGCCAAGTTTGTACTACTCTGTGATGTTTTTTTAAGTGAAAATAGCTCGACGTGTACATGGATACCGAATTTGTGCAATTCTTTTCAAGTTGGCAATTTTGAGAAACGTTCGAAGCAGTGCACACTTTCCCAGTTTGTCGCCAGGGATTTTACCGAAAACAGAGTTAATGTGAATTATTTATCTTGCTGTAATGATTAATGTCTTGTATAATTATAAAAACCATCAGATGTTCCTAATACTTATATAATGATAAAGACGAACAGATGATTCCAACAAATTTTCCTAAACTGAAAATCAGCGCTTTTGTTGCTGTCATATAATTACTGTCATAAATTGAAAGGCTTCCTTTTTTTTTATTACTTCCAACTCCATTACTTTCAAGTAGAAACTCATCTCTGTATGTTTTATGGCTAGGTTCTCCACTTTTCTATTCTTAAGGCAAGTCATCATGTATTTATCAGCTTTCTAGAGTCAATTTTGATTCATTTCATTATTTGCAGCTTGTAGTATCTATCTTCAATAAAATCTTGTAGTGTTTTCAAAATTTCTTCTCTACAAATTTCCATTACATCAGAAAAGTGTTTTCAAACTTTCCTGATGTAATGGAAATTTGTAGGAAATTTATCTGATATTTTCAAAGATTTCTAACATGTTCTGTTGAATGGGATGAGACTTTTTGAAATGTGGTGTATGATTATCATAATATATCATTTATGTTGTATTCTATACATATATATATATGTAAATACGTGTATGTGTTCTGCTATATGAGAAAATTATTAAGTCATGAATTAACATGATATGTTTGCAGATAGCTGATAGTACTTTCCATGCATGTTAATAGGCAGAGACCCATCCTAATTCATGACATTTATTAGTTACTGAGAATAGAGGGAAGGTTACTGAGAACTGTAATATGGATAATCTAGTTTGAAACTGTTGACTGAATTTGACACCTGCACAAGAGAGGAGCAGAATGCTGTTATCTCTCTTTTTTTTTTTTTTTTTTTTTTGTGTGTGTGTGTGTGTGTGTATGTGTAAAACTGTGATCGAGAAATTTTCTCAAGGTCATGCCAAAATTTGCAATGAAAATCAAAATGGATGTACTGTATTCTGTAGAAATGTAATGTAGCATATACTGTAGAAAAAACAGTAGCAGTACCTGTTCACTCTATTTAAAAAAACATCTTGGAGGCAAATACTTTGCAAATGAAAACGGCATTCAAGATGGAGTCCTAATATGGCTGAGACAACAATCTGAAGAATTTTATACAGTTAGTATTGGAGCATTGATGAAATAACACATGTGTATAAATAATAATAAAGATTATATTGAGAAATAAAAATAGTTTACAGGGAATTATATGATTATTTTGTAATTGTGTTTCATGACATATTTATTGACTTCCTTTCATACATTTGTATTATGAAATATTTAGGATACATTGAGATGTAGATGCATAATGAAAAAGTTGTAGACATGACTGAATTCATAATTTTGTGTTTTATTTTGATTGACACACATTTTTAAGCCAACATAAATGAAAGTGGTGCACTAAATGTGTTTGTTCTAGAACTATTTAAATGTTTTAAGACAGCATGCAGCAGTGGCAGATGTGAAATATGACGTATTTTAAGATGAAAACTTAATTCAATAGGAAAAAGTTATAGGTTGAAGTTTTCTCATTGGCTATTAAAAGTTTTGATATTGATTGTTTATATTTGCAAATTATCTGCGTCACCAGCTTTATGTAAAGAATGAAAAGGCAAAATATCTGAATTAAAACAATTAATAATTCTGTTTTTTAAGATTTTTAATACAGAAAAAAATTAAATTTAACATTAATAGCGATAAATATGTACAGTCTGTTTGCAAAAACGTATGTGCACACAGAAAAAATTTAGCCATAACCAGATCACCTTACCAAAATGTTGCCAACTACCTGTTACCATATTACAAAGATTAGCCAAAATTTTTTAATAATGTGAGTGTATATTTCCTTTGTGTACTAAGACAAATTTTCTTTTTTATGATATTTCTTTGTTTTATTTAAAATGTAATTTATTGAGATTTTATAATTTTTGTTGGCTGCGCTCCTTTGACTTTTTAAGTGAATATAGATCAATGTGTACATGGACAAAGTCAAAGGAGTGCACAATGCCAAGTTTGTGCAATTCTCTGATTTTTTAAGGGAAAATAAGTCGATGTGTACATGGATAAAGTCAAGGGAGTGCACAGTGCCAAGTTTGTGCAATTCTCTGGTGTTTTTTTAAGTGAAAATAGATCGATGTGCACATGGATACCGAGTTTGTACAATTCTTTCACTTGTTATTTTGTCTTTGTGTAACGGCAATAAATCGCCACTACACAAAACCGAAATAACAAGTCAAAGAATTGTACAAACTGGATGTCCATGTACTGCCAAAAAACGCCAATTTTCGTGAAGGGGCACCCGTAAATATATTTTTACAACTAAAGCTCTTTGAAATTTTTAATTCATACTCTATGGCAAATTTTTATTGAGGTTTTTTACACTGGGAAGTTTTTTAATCATACTATGTGTTTAATTTTTTAAATGAAAGTCATTTAATTATCTATGTACATATTCAAAAACAATTTTTTATTGTTCTTGTATTATTATCAGCATTATTACTTATTATATATAATTCTGACAGAGTGGAAAAGGCTGTGGACTTGTCTTATTCTGTCTTCATGCCTGATAATAAACTATCATCTTCAATACCTGCTATTATTTTGCATGGTTTGCTTGGATCTAAGCAGAACTGGAGAAGCCTTGGGAAGGCTATAGCAGTGAGGTCTAGTAGAAAAGTAAGACAAAATTCTGTATTTTATAAATAATGGTTGAGTTCCATAACAAACATTTTTTTCAAGAGAGGATTTTTTTTTTTTTAATTTTTATTTATTTTATTTATTTATTTATTCAAATTCTCTGATACATCATTTGAAGCATACCACAAGTGGATTGTTGATTTTAATCAGTGGTTTTCCAATTTTACAAATCAACTTTGATTTTCCTTCTGATTATATGATCATATGTCTGCATGGATTTCCATCGTTTTTTTTTTTTTTTTTCATCTATAATATAAATATTTATCCTATCTTATATGCATTTTGCCATAGTTAGCAATTAAAAAAACAACTGACTAAATAATACCCATTAATTAAAAAAAGGAGGCTTCTATTACATTTTTATAATGAATTGCAAGAAAAATTTGAGTCTGTAAATATATTTTCAATGACAATAAATTTTACAAGTTTAAATTAATGACAAATTAAAACAGTTTTTTCCCATCAAGTCATTATTTTTTAAACAATAATGCATTATTTCTGCTTAATATAACATTACAGTCAAAAGTCGTTAATCCGGACTCGTCAGGACTTCAGAAATTCCGGATTATAGATCATCAATTTAAATCTGGTAAGATGGCATGCAGAAATTATAAAATTAAAAATATGAAACCGTAATTTATGAAATAAAGAGCAATTATGATCTAAAGGGTATCAAAATTTACAAAAAAAAGCTTAATATTTATTTGTTTACTTCATGAAAGAAACATTTCTTTCAATGTAAGTTGTTTAAGTTGCTTTGTTTCATGTGATAATACTTTCTCTTTAATTCTATTAAACAGACATAATTTCTTATTCAGTTACAAAGTTCCACTGTTCAAGTCCTATAATTGCTGTGTCGAGAATACCGACTAATTTGTCAATTGAAATTTTTTCGTTTTCAATAACCTCTGTGTCACTTTCTTCACTATCGGAAGCTAATTACAATGACGAGGAATTTGATTTAAATCATATCAAAGATGGAGTACATCGAGATGAAATACTCATTTAGTAATGAACTATAAGCTGAATAAAATAAAAACATCTGCCCTGAAGATAAGGATAGTGCTGACCGATCAACTTCCAGTTCATTGCGCGCTGCGGCATTCCCCTCCCACGCAGAGCAGCGTGAAATTGATAAACAGATTTCGGAATGATTAGAGAAACAAAGGATATACCTTTATCCATTTTTTGCAGCAATTCCACTTTTTGTTTAATGGCCTTCAAAACATACTTTCGCTTTGTAGATCCTTTACATATTAGTAAATATATATCGGAAACTCTATTTGACATAATCCAAAGTTCAAGCTTACTTTTATAAAATTGCTCTAACAGTTTGCAAAAAATAATAAGCCAGATCCAATTCGAAGATTAAGGAACAATGCAATCTGCTACATTAACTGAATTAGATAATTTTAGCTTAGCTTATACCGTCCGTTATACAGGGTGATCCAAATTAAACTTCACCAACTCAGAGGCCTGTGAAGAGTGTTGTATGGGTCATAATGTGATGAAATTTTAAAAACAGATACTTCAGATCATGCGCTCGAGATTTATTACACAAAAAAATTAGTACAAGAAGTTGCCGATAGGTGGTGCTGTAACACTAGTAATATGCATATTGCAGCAATGTGATTTGCAGAAATAAAGCTTCTGTGCAACGTATCCAAAAGACAAGCCCTACAAAAGTGGAAGACAGGCCTTGCACAGGCAGTTGTTTCCAGCTCGCTGATGTACAATGGTGACTTTGAAAGAAAAAGCTCTGTTAGTGAAACTTTTCTACCAGAATGACGAGAACCCCTGTGCTGCAATAAGAACATTCCATCGGCTGAAGATCTTACGCCGAGGACCAATGACACCACATGCTCTACGAGACATGATGAAGAAGTTCGGAAGAACGGGACAGCTGGGAATTTTACCAGGTAGAGGATGACAGGTTGTGGAATCTGCACGCGTAGAAGACATTGCTTTGGCGGTCATGGACCCCACTAGCCAATCGCCACATGGTGTTGTCAGTATGCCAACTGTTTCTCGTGCTGTTGATATGCCTTATACGACCGTCTGGTGTGTGATGCATCGAATCCTCGGTTATTTTCCTTACAAAATCCATAGTCGTCATCAGCTGTCCGACGGGGATCCTGTAGTTCGGGAAACATTTGCATTGCAGTTCCTTGCCAGAATGGAAGTCGATGCTGCTTGGCCGTGGAACATCCTTTGGACGGATGAGGCCCATTTTCACCTGAATGCTCAAGTGAATACGCACAACTGCCACATTTGGGCAAATGAAAACCCATGCCCAATCCATCAAGTGCCCTTGAACCCTCCAAAGGTTGCTGTATGGTTCGGTTTCACTGCAACATTCGTCATTGGGCCTTATTTTTTTGAAGAGGTGACTCCAACAGGGTTCAAAACCTGCTCTGTCACAGGAAAATGGTATCAGAACATGTTGACAACGTTTGTGATCCCTGAATTGCAACAATGTGGCTGCCTCCAGGACATGATATTTATGCAGGATGGTGCACCTCCCCATATTCTTCGTGGCGTTCAACAGGTGTTACGGGCAACTTTTACTGATGCACGTGTGATCAGCCGCTGTTTCCCTACAGCTTGGCCTCCACGCTCGCCTGATCTCACGCCATGTGACTTTTGGTTATGGGAATTCTTAAAGGATTGGGTCTACCGAGAACACCCAGCAACCTTGGCTTATCTGAAAAACGCAATTTTTCGACATGTTCGGGGAATTAATGTGGACTTACTGCATTCCGCTGTGGAACACACTGCTTTGCGAATGGAAAGAGTTGTGGAGAACCACGGCACACATATGGAACATTGATCTGAAGTGTCTGTTTTTAAAATTTCATCACATTATGACCCATACAACACTCTGTACAGGCCTCTGAGTTGGGGAAGTTTAATTTGGATAACCCTGTGCATTAAACCCGCATGCGTAAACGTATTATGCACATGTGCACATGCATATTTGCAGCCGTAAAGGTCTTAAGCGCATGCGTAAACGCCTATGCGCACAGAAAGTTTGTAGCTTTGAGGTCCGGATTATAGGTGTCCGAATTAACGACTTTTGACTGCATTTATACTTTATATAGCTGCCCTATGCTTTTTACACTGAACTAGCTGTTTTACAATTTTTCAAGTGGTCAGCTTAATTTAATTTAACCTGTATTTTGAGAAACATTGTTATCCTATCCATATTCAATTTAGAACTATAGAAAAACATGGTACCATCAGTTGTCACTCTGAAAATCAGTAGAATGAAAATATTTTGACGTAGTCTGAAGAAAAGTTTTCTTAAAATGATTAAAAACTTGGGTGATTAACTCTAAATCAATCTGGAATCAAACTTTTGAGAGTGGAATTTGGTAGCTAGACTAGAACTTATATTCTCTTTAAGAATCATCAGATTCGTGTATCTAATTAATGTTCATCATCAGATAGATTTTCACAGTACATAAAAATGTAGGAAATCTTTTTTAATAAATTCAGAAAATATTTTAGGGCATGTAATAGTTGAATTTTTAAATATCTTTTCATGATTTTTTAGAAAATGAATTCAGTTCATTAAATTGATCATTTATTTTAAATAATATTCATAATTAACGAAGATTCCACTCTGTCCATTGGTGTTCCCTTATGGCTTCTGAATGAGAACATAAGTAATTCAATTGATCTTGCATAGTGGATTATAAAATATTTATTTGGTATCCTTTACATGGCTATATATAAAATTTTACCTTCTAGAGCAGAAAGATGTGCTTCATATGCTTACTTTAAATTCATGTTTATCTTTAAATTAATATAATTTTTAAAATCTGCTGATCTTTTCTAAATCAGAGTTTAGTTATAAAAATTTAAATTTCATACTTAATATAAAATTATGTAATAAATTTCAAGTTATTAATGAAATTAAAATCTGTATATGTAAACCCATCAGGATCCAAGTGCATAAGATGGCTAAAATCCTCCATTCCAGATTCAGTTTTCAACAGACCAACTAGATATAGTTGCATACAATTTAATACATTGCAAAGGATTTTCATAAGATATACTGTCATCTCACATGCTCTGGCCTAATAAATTACCTCCTTACCAGCTGTGTAATAGAAAACCATATTTGTAAGTTATTTGAAAACTAGATTTCAGTTTGTTTAGATTGCATATAAGCTATATATGTTCTTTCCAGTGGAATGATATGGCTATGATAAAAAAGCTAAAAGTAATGATGAATTGTTTCTTATAACTGAAATTAGCATAAAATTGGTAAACATTTGTGGAATATTTTATAGAGGGAACTGTCATTAAGTATTATTATAAACAGCTTTGATAAGTTTTATTTATTTATTTATTTTTGCTTAACTGCACAGCTATATGTTTTACTGGTATTCTACATACACCTGTAAAACTTTGATGCTATGTTTCTGCCCTACAGGTAAAATAAATTATAACAAAATAGTAATCAAACGAAAATGCTTAATCAAATACACATTTTATATCATATATACTAGTGTTTCTCAACTTTTTCAAGTGGGGACCACTTTTATAAATTGAGCTATTCTGCGGATCATCTTACTTTTATTCTATTCCAAAGCAATTTTCTTGTCTGTGCCATTACTAGTACACTTATAATTTTAAAACATAACTGATTAATAGAAATATAATTGATAATTTATCAATAATTGATAAACATAACGTATAATTTTAAAACATAATGATTAAAATTCGTTTAATTTTATGTTTGTATTGATAAATTATGTTAACAGAATAAAAGTTATATTTGTTTCTAATAGTTCAAGGCTATTGCAGTTTGGATAATCTTTATCATATTAACTAAAAATTAAATAAATGTTGGTGCTTACATTAATGAGATGTATGAACCTGCCAATTTTTGCACAGCTATTCTGTGTTTGGATGTATGTTGGTAAGCTTAAGTCTGAGATGGGCACATGCATCAAGTTGATTTTGGTACTTTGTTTTTATTTGGGCTAATGGTGAAAACCCTTTCTTACACAGATATGTTGAAGCAAATTGAATTAAAATTTTTAAAGCACCATTCTGTATTTAAATATATTCCTTTTTTATTGATAATGATGTTCAGAAATTAACAGTACCTTCTTCTTGGAGTTTCACTTTATGTTCAGTGTCATTCAAGAGATATTTAACTGTTTCTTTCATTCAATGGCAGTTCATTATTTTAAGTATTGCAATCAAAAGGCTTGAGAACTTGCAAAATTTTTTTATATTTACCACTTGGAATATAAATTTCAAACTTTGACCTCATAGTTCTTAGATGCAGGCATATGCTAACTGCATATTTTTATTCCAATAAAGCTATCACTTTCTACTAAAAAGATTCTAAGGTTTGAAATTGTGAAAAAAATTTTCTGTTTTATATAGCCAAATTTCCTCTAAAATCCCTTTACTTTCACATAGGTATTAAGAACAGTCAAAGAATAACCTTGCAGGCAGGAATTTAGTTCATTTCTGAAAATACGCCAGTATGCATAGCTACATGTCATTTGCAAGAAATGATTTAAAATCTTTCTTGTTAATTCTGTTTCTAAATAATAGGGTATTTTTGTAAAGCTAGGAAGATCACAGAGGCAGGCTTTGAGAACTGCTATTGTTCCTCGGACCACCATTTGAGATACACTGATGTAGACCCATCAAAGATAAGCATATGCACATATTCTGCTTTAACAAATCTGATACAGGAAAAATTTAAAATCATTATAGGCTAGTTTTCCTGCCACTTTATCTGATCAGACAGAAATAACATTTAATTTCAGAAATTTCTCTTTCATAATGGGAGGGGACTGAAATTTTATTTTGGGAATGGAAGAGGATGAAACTCCTCCTGTTCTTAATTCTTCGATGTAAGACAGAAACCACTTCATATATGGATTTTCAGCAGACTTTTATCTGCCAAGAAACAAAGGATAAAAAATAAGCATATATTTAACATATAAATTTGGAATTGTTATGCCCAAATTCGACTTTTTGATTTCTCAGATTATTGTATACTTTAATAATATTCCAGCCACAATTTTATACCCTTTTCATATGAATGAAAACTTCTTAGTCGGAGTTTCTTAGTCATCTATATATATATAGGAGCACTGTTATCTGTAATTCATTAAAATAAGGCTTTAAATACAGTTAACCTCCAATGGAAGTTACCATCCAAATATGACCATCTCTTAGAATGATTAATCTTTCTGGGAACACAATCAGATACTGGAATTTGAACATCAGTTCTGTAAACTCATCACCTCCTCTGAATAAAAATCATCTGAAACGCTGGATGATAATCTTAGAAAGGTTTCATTACACATATGTTATTATAATATTAGTGATAATTATATTATACACTAGAAAATGCTTATGTCTTAAATAGTATATAAATATTGATTTATGAATGTTGTTTTATATAAAGGAATAGGTAGCATTTATAGCATTTTAATATAATCATTAATTATTATCATTAACTTTGTTTTTTTGCTGATGTCCTGGTATCATTATTTCATCTCACTTGAAATACATTTATTCCTGTTGGATTTCTTATTAAGTCCACTGTCTGATTTCATTTTAAATTCTCTAAAAAATTGTTTCCATATTAGATTATATGTAAGTAAATTATAAAACTTTAATTTAATGATTAAAATATGTTTTTACCTAATTTAGATATTTGAAAGTGCACCAAAATAAGGTTTAAAATTAATATAGCTCTTGTATCTTTTTCCGTGTCATTATCGTATTTGCATTTTTTTATACCTTAATCTTAAATAATATATGATCTATAATAATATTGTATCTAAAGATATTGTAAGTAGGAAATGAAAAAACAGGAAAATTAACAGATGTAAGTTTGGGCCTACTAAAATGCTTTTAAATTTATTTCTGCATAAACAGAAAAAATGTCGATGTTGTTTTATTACAATAAAATTAAATAATTCCAAGTCATTAAATTAAGGAAATTAAAATTATTGTAATCTAAAGTATAATAGTACCTTTGTTTTATTTCATAAAAGACACATTATTTTACATGCATTATTTATTTCATTTTGACATTCAAAAAAGTAACTAGTCTTAACCACAATCAGTGCTATGACTAACTTAACAATTGCTTGCATAAGTTTTATTTTTGAACCTCATGTAGATAAGATGTAGTTATAGTACTTTACTGTTGGTTTATAGTGTAACTGTATAAAAATTATTTACACAAGGTTTACAAAAGAATAATAATTAATTTACAAAGACATTATTAATCCTATAAGCAATATTACATCCAATGGAAATGGGGGAATTGAATAATTATTTCTGTAGAGCAGTTGATTTATCTTCTCAGCTGAATTCTTAATCATTTTAATTTATTAACCTTTCTGCAAAAGGAGTTCTACAGATGAGAGAAGTGAGAGGTATTCACTGAACAGTACTAATTTTTATATTTAATTTGATTAAACTGATATAGAATGCAGATGTTGTTGCAGTTTTAAAATTGTGTATCAATATCTAGGCTTTAAATTTAATGTCATGAACTATGGTAGCAAAATTTAAAATTTAAGAAAATAAATATTTTACTGTGTTTTAGGGTTATTTCTATTTCAGGTTTTTTTCATACAAAGGCACTTTGTATGTGCATCTGCTGTACGTGTATAGTTGTGGTACTGGCTGTGATAATAACTTATTTTCATATTTAAATGAATTATTTTTTATATTTACATCACAGCATAATTTACTTTGTGTTAATTATTTCACCTGATTCTTAATTCTTCATCATTCTGTGGACAATTAATTACAGGAACCATATTTATAATAAACTTATGATGCATGTACTTATAGCCATGATTCTTTATCTGAAAATAAATCTGCTATTAAACATAAATATGGCAATGTGAACCTTCATTTAAAAGCATATGTGTAAGTAATGATTAGGAATTTTAGTTTGAAAATTCTGAGCATTAATGGATTTGATGTTCTAAATATTTAGTGCTTTTACTGATGTTTTTATATTTTAATATGACTTTTTAAATCGGGTCTTTACAATACATAACAAGTAGTCTTTTCAAAATTTTATACCTAGAAATTCATATGATATAAAAAACAACATATATAAATGCTGTTATTCTAACAAAAAAATAACTTTATTCATTCATCATGAATTTCTGTGATTTTATTTATTTAGGTATATGCATTAGATGCCAGAAATCATGGAGACAGCCCTCATTCTTATGAATTTAATTATGAATTGATGTCTGCAGATGTAAAGCATTTCATGAATTCTCAAGCTATATCAAGTGCGATACTTATTGGGCATAGTATGGGTGGAAGAACAGCTATGCATTTAGCTCTCACGGAGGTAAAGTTGGATTTCCTATGAATTGTTCAATTAATGAATATGAAAAATGCTTGAACTTACTTGAAAAATTAAGTGTTTATTTCTATGTGAGAATCTATCTAATCTGTCTAAGTTCAGAATCATCATTATTGTTCTTTTCATGCCTAGTTGGTACTTAGCCTTCAGTCTTTCCTTTCATCTTCTGCAGGTTTCTTTCAGCCATGTCATACGGCTTTGTTATTATCATCTTCCACTATTCTTCTCTAAATCTGTTTTGATATGCCTCTTGACTTCTTTGTGTTGGGAACCCATCTAATACCATTCTTGGAGGTTTTAATTGGTGGCATTCTTAATACATGTGCTACAAAAAGTAAATTGTGCATACTGTATGTTTATGTATCTGCTAAGCTTACTTGCCTTGGACTTGCAGTATGGCTATGCATTGAAATACTGCATGCTTTATTTAAGAATCTCTCATTGTACTTAGATACCAAAATATATTTATGACTTTGTCATTAAAGTTGTTAATTAAACGTGAATTAATGCTGTTTGTTGACTCATCATACAAAATCTTTAATAAAAGAATTCCAGATTCTTCCCACAGCTGTAGAAGTCTTTGCAGTTTTTATTTTTAGAAAAAGAAGATGGATATTAATTAATTTAGTAATTTATATATCCTTCAAGTAATTTTACATAAATTCTAATTCAAATTTTTTTAACAGAAATGAGACTAATAAGCAACCATAATACTTTTGTTTACAATCAAGCAGCTTTATATTATCAATTAGAGCTGTGAATTTTGGCTGGGAATATAGGGTTGAACAAATATTAATTCTGGATTGTAAATGAATCTGTTCTCTAGAATCTTTACATTGTTCTGTATTTATTATGTAATTTTCTATAGATAATATATTTTAACTAGATTCTTTAAATTTTGCATCATGTGTATTAAGGTTACTTCTTGAATGGAAATGATCATAATTAAGAAATATATTTTAATAAATCATATATCTATTGGTGTTAAGATTTAAAAAGGTGAATCAGAGGCCGATGATAATTAAGTAGAGATGGAATTAATTATGCACATGGCATAGCACACTTCTACATATCACACCAAACCACACTACAATGACTGGTGCCAATACAACCTAAGCAAAATATATAAATAAATCTGCACATATACATATAACATATAACATCAAATCATATATAATATAATATATATATAACATCAAATCATAAACCAGGGAGTAGTGTTATTATTCTTAACACCCTCCTTTAATCACATATTATTTTACATTTTTCTCTTAAATAACATAATCTTAGTTTAGGCAAGCATTTTGTAAACAAATCAGCTAACTGATTTTCTCTAGAACACACCTTGTATACAAGATTTATATCATACAATTTTACTATATCCCTAATATACTTTAATATCCAAATGTTTCAGTCCAGCACAATTACGTTCATTTAATATTGTTTTAATTACAGACTGATTATCCTCATAAACTGAAACTTTAATGTTGTCGACTCCTAAAATTTCTTTAGATACATTATAAAATACACTTAGGTTCCTGAATAGCTTTTGCTAAAGCCAAAATTTCTTCCTCAGTAGAGGACAGAGCAATAGATGTTTGCTTCCTTAACAGACCAAGTTACAGGACAATCATTAAAAATTAATATACCCAGAAAAATTTTCTATCATATGTATCTTGACCCCCAATCAACATCAACATAAACATTTAACACAATATCAACACTATTAGATTTACAAAATAATAATTTGAGTTCAGATGTCTCTTTTAAATATCGAAAAATTCGCTTCAGACCAGCCCAAGCACTGTTAGTGGGTTGCTCTTGTATCTGACTCAGACAGTTCACAGAATACAGCAATATCAGGACGAGTTGTCATAAATAGGTACAGCAAAGCACCTACAAATTCACGATAAGGGCCATGAAATCTTTCACCATTCACAAAATTTCATGAAGTTGACTTGGGCACTAGGGGAAGTATCAGATGGCTTACAATCTAACATTCTAAATCTATTTAACAATTTTTCAACATAAGCCTTTTGGTCTAAAGTAGGTTTGTTTTGTGAATATTCAAAACTTGTTCCTAGAAATTCATTTGCAACTTCAGCCTTGAACATCTCAAATTCATTTCTAAGTAATTCAACCACAATTCTTACCTCTGAATCATTAGAATCAGCAATAAGCATGTCATCCACATACAGCACAATAAATACTTCACTCTGTTTAGTTCTCACAAAAGTGCATGCTTCACAGATTAGTGTTGAAGACTTGTTGAAAGATTACAGACTTGTTGAAAGTTTAACTTAATTATAAAATCAGTAAATCTCTTGAAACCACTGCCTCAGTGGCTTGCTTAAGTCTTATAAAGACTCTTAAGAAGCTTGTACACACAACCACTGTTGTCACTGTAGCCCATTGGTTGTTCCATGTAGATTGTTTCTTATAGATCACCATTCAGAAATGCAGTCTTTACATCTAATGCATAGATTTCAAGGTTCTTTTGAATAATGATAGCCAGCACAAGTCGAAAGTGATGATGTACTAATTTCACAGGAGCATAGGTCTCAAAGTAATCAATGCCTGGCTTCTGTTCAAAGCCACGACCAATCAGTCTAGCCTTGTAAACATTGTTTCCTTTGATACGCAACACCCATTTACAGGATATTGGCTTTTCATCCTTTGGGAAGTTGACTAACTTCAACACTTCAGTTTTATTAAGAGAAGCTATTTCCTCATCCATAGCTTTCCTCCATACGACTTTCTCTTCTTTTGGCAATGTTGTTATATCCTCATTTGTTACTGTATCAAGAGTTGCCACATTAGCTTCATGCACAAAGTAATCATTCAACTTTACAGGTAATTTTATACTTCTTCTTTTCCTAGTAATTTCTTCATGACTTTCTTCAAGATTTCTGGATTCTACATCACTTGATCACCTATTACTTCATCTTTAGCAGGATCTTTACTTTTTGGAAAAAACATCTTGAACTGAGATAAACTTTTTCTCTTCATTGAACAATACATTTCGAGAAACCACACATGATTTGTGACTGGTCAGTAAACGATAACCCATGGTAGAGTAGCCAATAATCATCTTTTTATTTGGATCCAATCTTTTTCTTTTTTCTCATGTTGCAGAACCTTTTGTTCCCATATTGAATCTATTCTTACTATCTCTGCCTGTCCAGTTAAGATGTTGGCTCTCTCAGCCACACCTGTGTACCTTTATACTTTCATTTATGTTACTCTTGTGCAATCCTTTCAGTGTTCATAATAGAAAAATTCTGAACTCTCGATACTTTTCACCTGAGATAAATTTCTTTTCTTCAAATTGAAACACAACATGAACATAAACATAAATGGTAGATCCAATCAGATCCAGTATCTCTCATGTATGCATCAGATCCAAACACCTCAAATTGGCTTCCATATTGGAATCTATTCTTAAGAATGAAATGCCTATTCTTCAGATATGTAGCTGTCTGTACAGCATAACCCCAAAAGGATTTAGAAAGCAGCTTTGCTTCACATATTAGAGCTCGGCCAGGCCTTCTCTAAAAGATTATCTGTTGGCTCTCTCAGCCACACCATTCAAAGGAGGTGAATATGGAAGGAGCAGGATCTTATCATAACAACCATTTTTCTTGCAATAATGAGCTAGTTCACCAGACAATGCATTCCTTGGCATTATCACACAGGATTTTATAGAGATCAGGATTCTGCTTTAGGAACAATTTAAACACTTCATTTATGTCACGCTTGTGCTTTAAGAGATGCACTTCAGTAAATCTAAAAAAATCGTCTATGATTGTAGCAAAATACTTTTCACCTTCCCTAGTAGGTGGATCAATGGGACCACATATGTCAGTGTGTACCGTTCTCATCGGCACATGCTCTCTGGTTCTAGGGTTTTTGTTCATAAGAGTGTTGGAATGTTTTGCTAGTATGCACTCTTCACAAAAGTTTGATGGTGACTCAGATACTGGCAAACCCATTTCTTTTAATTTTTTTTTCCATTTTTTATCAGATGAGTGCCCCATGCGCCTGTGCCATAATTCTGCACTATGATTTGCAATGTAGTGAAGCTTTAATAGGTTCAAATTGACTCACATACTGTCTTTTCTCATTTAGCAAACTCAATTTTTCATTCCTCTTTCCAATAACAGCTACATCATTCTTAAAAATTACACTGTAACCTGCTTTTTGAATATTCTTCACAGATATTAATTGACCATTCAACTCAGCACATATAACATCTTTAAATAATATTTCTCTTCATTTAATGTTCTAGGTACTGTAGCCAATACCTCTACCTTTAAAACATCATTTTTCAAAGCACATGCACAGTTTCCAGAAAAAGGTTTAATTTCTTCAAACCACTCACCTTTGTTACACATGTGTAGATGCTCCAGAATCCAGAATGAAATTTCCAACAGGCTTGCCAACCATAAATGTTACTGCAGCCGATTCTCTGTAATCTGATTTATGCTTAAATCTGCAATCCTTGTTGTAATGCCCTGGGCGTACACATCCAAAACAAACTAATTTTCTCTTGCAAAGCTTGGCAATATGACCTTTACTTTTACATTTTTGGCAGGTGATATCATGCTTATCAGCACTAAAAGCTACGTTATTACTTGAGCCAGAAACACGAGAATCGTAAGAATTTCTCTCACCTTGCAATTCTTCAGCATTCAAGAGTCTTTGCATAACGAGTCCAGCATAAGCATTTGATTTGGCTGGTTCTCAATCATCAATTTAATAATGTCGTACTCAGCAGGTAGCGACATCAACAAATAAATCATTGCATCCATATCTTTGACTTCAGCACCTAAGAGTCAGAGTTCATTTATGATTGCCAACAGTTCGTTAATATATGACTACATACTTCAATCTCGCCGTTTCTTCAGTGTCGATAATTTCTTTCGAACTAATATTTGACTAACTTCACTCACCTTCAAGTATTTATTCTTTAAACTGCTTCAAATTTCACATGTATAAGATTCACTCGACATGGTTGCCCATATGTCATCATCTAGAAGGGTTAGCAGCAATGCGTAAGCTTTTTTTGCATTTTTGATTTCAGCAACTTTCGTTTCATCTGCTTTAATGTCTAAATATTTATCAAGTTGTTTGGCCGCAAACACTGCTTCAACACGGTGCTTAAACAGAGAAAAGTTTTTACCGTTACAGGGCTCAACACAATACTTTGTGTTCTCATCACCCGCTGCCATTTCAAATTTCACTTAACGCGCGATTCTGTTCCAAACAAATAAGTTCCGCAAGACAAATATAAATGCTTCACCTCTAGCGTGTTCAATATCAGAACCACACTCTGCTGTTAAGATTTAAAAAGGTGAAAAAGGTGAATAAGAGGCTGATGATAATTAAGTAGAGGCTTTATTAAAAGATGGAATTAATCACGCACATGGCATAACGCACTTCTACATATCACACCAAACCACACTACAACGACTGTTGCCAATACAACCTAAGCAAAATATAAACAGTTATGGTTAATATAAATATAACATCAAATCATAAACCAGGGAGTAAGTGTGATTATTCTCAACAATTAGCAAGTTGTTTCAGTTAAGTCTTCCATATGCAGGCTGTCTCAAAAGGTCATTACCAAACTTAACATGCTGGTCTGTCATACCATGACAAAAAAGATTTACATAGGAACTTGTGTCCAAAACTGCGAACAGCGACTGCTAGAGGGCAATTGAGCATTACTTTGCAACGCATAAATTTGATTGCGATGCCATCTTTCTTATTCTCTTTGTTCGTAATTTCAAAATTTCATTCCTGATTTCGTCCACTTGTCCAAACTCAGACAGGAAGCCGATTTATTTTTTATGGTGAATGCTTCCATTCTTTTGAAATCGAGTTAACAAGCATTTCCATCTTGCACCAAACAATAGCTTTCTAAAGTTAACAGCGTGAACTGCAATTGAAATTTCAAAAGATAGTGCAAGAGCATTGTTTAGTGACACAATTTACTATTAATATTCAGTTCGGAATTTTCATCATTAATACTATTAAAATCTGTGAGCATCTGTTTGTTTGTTTGTATGTTTGCAACATCATTTCCTCTAGAACGGTGGGAAGTTGAGTTTCAAGAGAGGTCCCCCCCCCCCCGGATTCCAAAACTTCATGGGAAGCCTTTTCGATCATTCTCATCTTCGTACGACTTTTATCAACTGATATATTAATTAAAAACTCTGAAAACGCTAATTTTCACACCCTACAAGTTGCTTTTCTAGCTGAACATCATTGCTGTTCGGCATGCCACGTGGATGCACGTGCGAGGTAGAATTTTAAAACTGCCATCCGTCTTTTCTAGCATTTGCAGGCTTATGGAAGAGTGGGAAGTGGAATCATTTTGGGCAAGGACATTGCAGTAGAAGGATAAATTGGTTTACTAGCACAGTTCTTTATGGACATTTTATGGTAAAAGGGTTGCCGGATCGAATGGTTGATGTTCCAACAGTAATGCGCTGAAACATCTGGTTTCAATATGATAGAGCACCTGCACATTTTAGCAGCACTGTGTGTAGAAATACCTTGATAAGACATATCCTGATTGCTGAATTGGCAGAGGCAGACCATTTTCATGGCCACTGTGATCCCCTGACCTGACTCCTCTGGATTTCTACCTGTCACCAATATTGTGGAAGCAGCGACATGTATGCGCGGCACACCTGCCCATTTTGAACAAGTCCGTGAAACCTTATGTTGATGTGGTGAAGCATGCATTGCGATGAGTGGAAGGAATTTTCAATATCTTCTGTGATTTAACCATGTACTGTAATAAATGTCATGTTAACACATCTTTCAACATCTTTTCTTTCTTCCCCTCTACACTTGCGAATGTTGACCTTTAGCAGTCGTCGTTTGCATTTTTGGGCACAAGTTTATATGTAAATCTTGTTTGTCATGATATCATAGGCCAGCATGTTAAGTTTGGCAACAACTTTTCGAGACACCCTGTATTTATTTATTTATTTATTTATTTATTTTATTTTTTTTTTTTTTTTTTTTTCCGTCAGATCAGTGTCAGTTAGTAGCTAATTTGTTAAGCTTCAGCATGGATTCAGATTGCATCACATTGGCTGGTTGCATGGGCTTTTCATAGTTTTTCCAGCATATGACATAAATACAAACTAGTATCCTTTAAAAAGCTCTCCATAAGGGCATTCCTTTCTTTAGACAGATAATCCAGATGTAATTTGCCTTAAACAATTAATCAACCAAGCATCTATCTTCCATCATGATTGTCAATATGGAAAATTTATTTCTAAACTTGAACTCAGTGTTATTTTATTTTAATTTTCACACAAATAGTGTTTTTGTTAACATTTAATTTTTCTAGTTTTTAATAGTTTTGAGTTGCATGTATGTTAATCGGTAAATTTGAAATGCATTTATTTAACTGATCATCATATCCTGTAACAGGATTAAGTCAAAATTATGTAAATAATGATAAATGTATATTTTGCTTTTCTATGACTATAATTCAGATTTCATATATGCTGGGAGTTATCTCTTTGTCATTCTGATGTGAAGTTTTTGCATAAACTTCCATTCTAACAAAAATTCTCACAACTGCAGGTCATGTAAGCATGGTCATTAGAAATTTCCAAACATAGGCTTATTTTTCTTATTCTTATGTGACAGCAGTTGAATAAAATATTAAATTGTTCCATTCATTTATGCCTTGACAGCATTATGAGCCTCTGGTCAAACAAGTGTACTGGGGCCCCTACAAATAACCATTTGCAGAGATGAAATGTAAATGAATTGACGAAGGGCTCTTATGTTTGGGGGGGGGCTCTGGACAAGTGCCCAGTGGACTCATGCATTAAGATGGCCCTAGTTCCATTATATTAGCAATTAATCAAATCATGATATTCTGAAATCTGCTGTTTTATGTTAAGTCTACATAAAACTTTTATGTAACTTTCAGACTTTTCCCAAATAATAAAAATTGCCTGTAAAATAATGTTTTTGATTTTCTTACGTTTTTAAAATACATTTTTTAATCACAAACAGAAAATATTTACTAAAACATTTTCAAGATGAAACAAGAATTTATTGCACTTTTGCTATTACATTTAACTGTTTATCAAAATAGAGAATCTTTTGTTGACCTTTTATTAATAAAGAATCTTTTGTTGATAAAAAATTTCTCAAATTATAATTGTCTGTGTTCTAGTACAAATATGAATGATTATTTTGGTTTGTTCTATTTTTAATCATCTAATGTATATGACATTAACATTACATTATATATGTATATGACATATATTTTATATTAATTTAAAAAAATTTTGTTAATATGAAAAATAAAATACAATGCTGCCCAACCAGGATAGTGGTTAGTGACTCTGACTATCATACCCAGGGCCGAATTTACATATAAGCTACACAAGCTATAGTGTCCCCACTTTCTTGCCCCCCCCCAAAGTTAAAATGTATTAAAATATGTTATAACAAGACTTATAAAAGGCCCCATATCTCAAATAGCTTAGGGCCTTATTAAATCTGGCTCTAACCATACCAAAGGGTCTAGTTTTGAATACCGGAGATGACATGGATGTTTATAAATGTATAGTGTTTGTGCAACATGGGAGCACTCTAAATTTGTGGCAAGCCAAAAGGTCTTCCCAAGAGGTTGGTGGTAGGGAGAGAGGGGTGGGAGACCCTCAAATCCATCTCCTCCAGTGTGTTCTCCTTCAAAGTTGGGGGTAGAACTGAGCAAAATTGTACTGTCATCAGTGTGGTGCCCAAGGGTGAGAATAACAGGCACAATCTTGCCTCCTTACCAGGGTGAATTCCATGGACTTGCTCTGATACCAAACATGCAAGATTGGTCATATTAACAAACAACAATAATAAAACACAACTGCACTTTTAAATTGTTAATTAATACTAATTAGGAATATATTTTGTGTATTTAAGATATTTTATTTTTCATTAACATATTTTTGTGTCAGAAAACTTACCATTCACTATATCTTATAATCCACAGAAATCTCTAGTCAACAAGCTAGTTGTTGTTGATGTATCTCCAATTAGTATACCCCAAGCATTGTCATCCTCTATTGATTATATGACAGCTATGAAAGAGGCAATAAAAACTGTTCCTAAATTGGGAATTGTTCAAGCTAGAAAAGCAATTGATATTTATTTATCCAGATCTATACCTGTAAGTAAACATACTTTAACATTTTAGGATGACTAATGTTGAAATATATTCCTTCTCTATATTTACTTTGTTTAGTGTAAAAATTATACTGTTTTTATGTATTTTATTTACAATGTTATAGTTTTTTTAAAGTTACCTGAAAAGCTATGTCTAAATTTTGTTGCTCTAAACTTTCTTTTTGCCCTGAGCAGTCTTGCTTATTTATGGCTGTATAATATAATATAGTAAACATGTGAAAGCAAGAAAAAAAGAGGTGATTAAACATTTGTTGCTGTAAAATAAATCAATAACTATTATTAAGCAGATTTTTTAGGAAGAATTATGAAGGATCATTTAAAGACACTTGAGGTTGTTCTCTAATATGTTTGTCAAAGACTGAATTTTATTTCAGTTTAAAGTTGAGTTTTCTCTTGCATCTGTCACCTTTTTCTTTCTATACTTTTAAAAGAAATAGCACATTTCATTAAAAGTATTTATTTGTTTTAAGGTTTGTTGTAATTAAATTATTTGCTACTGCATATTAAAAATGGAATCTTTTAACAAGCAGATTGTGAGTTCAAGCAGTGGCTGTGAAAAAATATGAGTAGCAAACTGAAATAATATACATCATGAGGCATTTATTTCAAATTAAGACATAGTTTTTTTCTGTTTATATTATAATAAAGCAGTTTTTTTTCAATGTCTGTTTTTATGAACTTTGTGTTCTCTGTAGTAAAACTATTTCTGTATCATAACTTTTCAAATTAAATTAAATTCTAAATTGCATTTTTAGTATTTATTAAATTATTTGTGTATTAAATAGTATAAAATATATTAAATTCTATTCAGAACATTAAAGTAGATTCATTTATGATCAGACATTAATATTTCTTTTATTACAGTATGCATAAATATCTTTATTGTGATATTTTCTAAGTTTACAGGAAATTATTTAATAGTTATCATAGGTATCTGTTTGCAGGAAATTGGAATTCGTCAGTTTCTTCTTACAAATCTGCATGAAGAAAACAAAGTCCTGAAATGGAGAGCAAATCTTGAGGTTTTATCCAACTGTTATTCTGAACTAATGAGATTTCCTTCAGTTTTGGGGCATTATTTAGAAGATACTTTGTTTATATGTGGTGAAGATTCTCCTTATGTAAAGTAAGATTCATTTTCTTTCATTCAATTAAGAAAACTTTTTAGTTTAAATTAATGAAATAAATTTATGAAACATTTAAATAATGTATTAATGTATGTATATATATATATATATATATATATAATAAGTAAGATGAAAATATGTAAATCAGAATATGTAAATCAGTTTTATAATTTAATTTAGTAATAGCCTCTTAATTCCCAATTTTTAATTTGGGTCTCTGTGTATTCTGAAAGTAGTAATAACTTTTCTAGACTGTGCAGCTTCTAAATTAATCTATGTTATATGGCTTGCATAATGCTGAAGACAGCTAATTTGGAATTTGATCTCAAAATTTTGAGAACTAAAACCTTTCTAACCTAAACCAAAACCTTCTCTTGCTGAGCCTCGTATTGGATAACTGCACTCAGCCAAAACCTTCTCTTGGTGAACCTCCATATTGGATAATTGTGCACTTAGCTTCTGCCTTGCTTCCTGTATTGATGCTATTTCGCTGTGCTCTCTTCTTCTCTCAACAGTATCAAAAATGTAAATATTCTTGAATAGGCAAGTAAATTATGGCCACAAAATTCAATTGAAATAAAAAATGAATGTTTAATTTTACTTGTCTGCCAAGTTTCCTAGTCATTATGGATTCAACATTTTAAGCATTCTACGCAATAAGAATTCTTCCTCTTCAATGTGAATCTACCTTATAAGCTATCTTGTGCTACGCCATCAACATTGCTACATCTTTTACTCTTTTTTTATTACATATGTATATATAATTAAAGACATAAAGTAATAAATTTAGAACTAATATTTCACAAAGACCAGAAATTGAAATTCATAATTAATAAATTTCAAATAATTATACATATAAATGCAACAAAGAATTTTAAAATGTTAAAACCAAAACATTTCAAACAGCAAAACCCCATTTCAAAAATTAATGAAATTTAAAGAAAAATGAACAAAAAAACAGAAGAGGAAGTCAATCAAACCCAGTGCCACTTCATCGGGGGGTGGGGAGAAACATTGAAATTAACTGAAATCTCTCTTCTACTAGTTGATGAACCATTTCAATATATTTTAATTATAATAGTTTGCTCAAAAATTCTTGCCCTTCCCTAAAGTAAGGAAAAAACAAAGTAAATTCTAATTAGAATAATTAGAATAATCTTAAATAAAGAGAACTCTAATTAGAATAATTAGAATAATCTTAAATAAAGAGAATTCTACCCTTTTAAACGAATTGAAAACAAAAGTGAAAAAACAAAATATTTCAGTGAAAAATTTTAAATCAAAATGTTTACCTTTAAACAGATAATCCAATGAATTAAGATGCGATTGAATTCATAAAAGAAAGTTGAAAAAACTTATTTAGAACACACAAAAAATAATTAAGAACTTCCAGCACTCTTGTTAGATTCCTGTCTAAAAATGAGATGCAAAACAGTAAGGTACCTACAGGTTTGCCATTTTGGCTTCATTGGCGAAACTCAAAAACCTTGGCTAAAATGCAATCTCTCAAAAGGCTAAAATCTTGTATGTAATATGTAATTTTGAACCAAAGAAAACTTTTAAATATTTCAATGAAAATTTTATTTTTTAGTCAAAGAAAAAGATTGCATGTTAAATGAATGAAATTTAAGTAAATTCTTACCCTTATAAAACAAAAATGGGAATAAATAATATTGTTTAGTGTAAAACTTTAATTAAATTTTTAAATCAATTAATTCTTAAAAAACTCAAAAAGTTGCCCAAAAAGGGATCAAATAGATTTTAATAATTGTTTTGTAGATATGAGTAATAAATCTATAAAGTTGAATTTTAGTTTTTAAATTTTGTATTTTAAAATTACAGAAAAAAGTTGAAAAAGAATGTAAAGGAACTATGTTAGAAAAGTAAAAAGTCTTCAAGCATATTAATGTCACAGATACTGATCTTGAAACTATGGCTGATAAATTGCCATTAATTGGACTGGATATTGTTGCCACTCAATTATGAATATGCTAAAATGTGGATAACTGTGGTAATTTAGTTATTGAAAAACCTCTAATAATTCCTCCCAATTTCAAACACATTCACAATTGTGATAGAGGTGGATTAAACTACCCGTCTGCTGATGTTATTAATGTAATAGTACTGCATAATTTTATTGTTGTACAGAAGCTCATAAGCCCTGAATATGAAAAGAGTTTCTGCAAGTATCTAACCAATGTAATTTAATATCTGCTATGACATTAGAAATTCTTATATATAAGGAAATTAAAATCATTTCCTGTAAAAACTATTTATCACTTAAAATTATGCAATTGCTTATATACTCATGTACAAGTACTCTTTTAAACAATTATTATATATACAAAAATGACAGCATTACTAAATATTCAGATAAAAGAAAACTAAAAACAGTTGCTGTGTGAGTATAAATAACTAAGAATATATTAGGAATGTACCAATATAATCTTTTGGCTTTGAAAATAATTTTAGTGTATTTCACTTTTTAATTTTAATTATTATCTAAACATGCATTAGTAAGAATATTTGTAATTTAATTTTAATTACTATCTAAAAATGCTATAGTAAGTATATTTGTAATTTAATTTTTTGTTTCTCTATTAAAAACATTAAAAATGTATGGAATTGTATTTAAATATATTATGTAAATAAATAATTTCAAAGACTTCATTTGTTCTATTGTATTATTTTAAATACTTTATATAGGTAACAGCAATAGTTGTCCGTTACATACCAGCAATTAATTTAGATTTATACTCATGTTTTTCCCATCAAAATATTTTTTCATTTATAATATAAACTGTATGCTTGGATGTTACCTTTAAGTAATCTTTGTGTATGTATATTATTATAGATATGTGATACTTTAGAGGTTTGTATGATGAGAAAACTTAGTAGATATTATGTATATATTATTATATGTGTGATATTTTAATACCGTAGTTAGAAGTATGGATACATAAACCTGAGATTTGGAAATATAATTGAATAATTTGGAAAGGTCTTGAATTTGGGAGAACAGATAACTTAAGGGGAGAACATAAAATTTAGAATAGTCAATTTTAAGGTCACCAATTATTTCTTAACATAGCCATCATATTTTATTATATCTTGCATATGTAGTTATGTGTTTGCTACACTTGTTATGTGTTTGTTAGATGCATCTAAAGAAGCTGTTGATGCAGTTTTAAAACAGCACCCAGATGGTAACCTACATCCAAATTGCTTTTCATTCTAGAAAATTAAGGTCTTGTGAGCAAAATTATGCAATTACTGAATTAGAATGTTTAGCCATTATAGATGCTATAGATAAATTTTATTATTATTTACTGGGTAATTACTTTACTGATCATGCTGCTTTAGTTTGGCTTAAGAACATTAAACATCCTACATCCTTAGATGGTCTTTAAAATTATCTATGCATGATTTTGATATGAAATATAAAAAAGGTTCTACTAATATTGAAGCTGATATATTAACTAGAAATCCTATTTGTTAACATTTGAGTTTGCAAGTTAATTTATTATTATTAGAAGAAATAAAGAGCATCCAAATTTAGATAATGTATGTAATCCTAAGTATAAGAAAATTAATGATGTGTTAACTATTAAAAAGCAAGGATTATACAAAATCATAATAGCAATCTCTCTTCGTATTAAATTACTTGAAAAAGCTCATATTAATTGTGGTCATATTGGTGTGTCCTCAATGGTGAATTTCTTATCTTGTCAATATTATTGGTCAGGAATTGTCCGATATATTAGAATTTATTGTAAACATTGCAAAGTATGTCAGTTTAATAAGAAAAGTAAACAAAAGAGATTTGGTTTAATGCAAACCTTACCTTATTATCTGTTAGTGAACCTTTTTAATTATCTATTGATACTGTTGGTGATTTAAACTAATATTATAATCCTACTAAAATGTATATTCACTTAATTATTGATCATGCTACTTGTTATATATGGACTTTTGCTTCTAAAAGTGTAACTACAGGTAGTTACATAAATTGTTTAAGACAAATTTTTCAAATTCAAGTACCAAAGAAAATTTTAAGTGATAGAAATGCTGCTTCTTCAAAGTTTAAGCGTTTTTTAAGAAATCATAATGTAAAACAATTATTAACTACTGCTAACAGACCTCAAACTAGTGGTAAAGTTGAACAAGTTAATCAAACAAGTATAACTAGACTAAAGAGTAAATTAAATTCTTATCAGGGTAATATCGCATGGACAAAATCGTTACCTCAAGTTACTGAAGAATATAATAATACACCTCATTCTGTAGCAAAATTCCTGCAATCTTATTTAATGTATGGAAAATTACCTTATGATCCTCTACTTGAAAATCAAAAAGTCTATCCACCAATCATGTCTTAACTTAGCCATCGAATTTAATAATATCTTATATATATATATATGTTATAATTTTCACATAGTTGAGAGTATATTTAAGACTAATAAATATAATTTTTCCTTGCTGAAATTTTAAACTCTGATTTTTAAGGAATATGATAAAAAGTCTGATATTGTATCTACAGATGAGATAAAAAACAATATATCAGAAGTTTTTAAGATATCGAGGAGTTTTGGTTTTCAGAACTGATTTTTAATTGAATGATTTGAAAATTCAGTTTCTACTAATAATTTCATGAAACCAAATTTGATATTTAAAATAATGAAGTTTTGCTGGACTAAGTATCAAGTCTTATTACATATAAAATTTTAATGCATCTTTAATGAGTTTTATTTATTGCTCCTGTATTGTAATGTGAATATGATAAATTTATTAGAAGTTACTCATTTTAATTTGAAAGTTAATAATATTTATTTGACCTTAAATTAGTATTTATTCTAAAGTTTCATTGCTTTTGAAAATCTATGCGAGTTTAAAGACAATATTTCTCTTTCTTAAAGTTTTTCTCTTTATTTATTTTTTTATAGACAGAAAATAAAAATATGAAGCCTGTTTAATTTTCTATAGAAGCTTTGTCTGATTCATGTGATCAGGATCAGGAAAGAATGTGATCAGCAGCATTAAAAGTGTGATAGTAGTAACTGTGTTTCCTATTAAGGATCTAGTCTGAAAGCAGTAAGAATTAAAATTTCATAATTTAACTATTTGAAATAATTAGCAAAATAATTTTATTGAGGTGATAAAAATTTTTCAGAACTTTTGCTTTCTCATAATATTAAATTTGTAGGTATCATAAAAGTATTCTTAATTATTAAAGAAGTATATTTTCATTTTAAGTAATATCAGTCTAAACAATTAAAAACAATTTTCAAATACATTCCGATAGTAACATAACTTTTTTATTGCGAAAATATAGTTTCTGGATTATTCTGAGAGTTCATTATTTTACGCAAATTGATACTCATATGCACGGAGAAACATAACTTTTTTATTGCGAAAACATAACTAATAGTAACATAACTTTTTTATTGCGAAAATATAGTTTCTGGATTATTCTGAGAGTTCATTATTTTACGCAAATTGATACTCATATGCACGGAGAAATTATCGCTATCGGAAGTTCCGCCATTTCGTATTCTACGACCTAGTGCTCGTGACATCACAGACCAGTCCGATGGCTTTGTATATCTAGGAGGCTATGGTTAGGCGCGTTTCGTCTATGGACTGAAATGTCGGCACTAGTATAAAGAGCAACTTGGATTTGGGGTCCGCTAAGAAGATGCGGTTAATAAGGCGATCGTTAACTTGGTCAGCGGGCAAACAGCGTTCTAGTTTTCCGTCTATTTATACGTGCAAGGAGGATTACATTTTCTTGCTTTGTCTTCGAATCTGCTATGATAGAAATAGTAATCCTTATTACTTCGCTGTGAGTTATTTCGTGAAGGAATGCGTCTGCAAGGTTTCCTTCTGCGATTCCGAAAATGATTATGATATTTTTAACTGATGACTTTAGGTCATTAACCTGTTTGATCAAGTCGACTATTTTTTGTTCCAATGAAGTACCACTGGGATCTGATGTGCTAACATTATTTAGAATAGAAGGCATGGATAATTAATATATTTTATCTGCCACAGCTGAGAGATCTGAAAAATTTTGGAGAACTGCCAAAGTTGTTTTTGTATTAGTTGGGAGTCTATTAAGCCAAGGTGTCTTTAATAAGGGATCTCCCACGTTGTCACCAGCTAGCGCATGCATATATGTAAAGAGTTCAGAGGGGCGTTGGTCGCCGATATCAAGTCCCTAAGTAATTTTTTAATTTCATTCACTCATTCACTCTCAGAATGGATTCCAATGAAGCGTTTTTGAGGCTATTATATTCATTTGTATCTAAGGGGACTGAGTATTATAACGGACACAGAGTTAAGCGCTTCAAAGTCGATTGCCGCTACTACGTAATTATATTTTGTGAGATCCTCCTTAATATCAGCGACAGCAAGCTGTGATTCCAGCTAGATAAACCATAGCGTCGGATTATTCATCTCAAACGCTGGTGGTTTTACCGCCACGCGTGAAATTTGTTTGGATGTACTGTCTTGCGAGAGGGGCATGGTAGCGGAATTGACTCACAACGTGTAACACAGAAAATTTCGGTAATGGAAAAATGACAAAAAAATAAAATGTTAAAGTAAAATAACAGTTTACATAAATATCATACATATAATACTCAGAATTTGACTGGTGGTAAGAAAATGTCACAAGTAAAAAAGCAAAATTGGCGTAATAGTGTTATTGGAAAAATAAATGATATGCATAAAATAAAAATAATGCAAGAGAAATAATTACTTAAAACTCAGCGCCATAGCTCAGTTAGACGCGTAATGAAAATTCAATTGCGAACATTATTTACAGTACGCAGGGATTAAAAAAAAGAAATTTCTCATCCATTTTGTAGGAAGCGAAGGACGTAATAGCAAGCAATTCTCTTAGTAACTGTCTTGGTATGTTGCTATGTTGTAAATAGTAAGTGGCAGTTTCGCTTTGAACTTACATATGAAACGGAAGTAAAAATAGTATGGTGCTGTACAAGAATACCGCTAAACTTTCACTATGTAAATAAAAAAACTCGTTGAGAACATGATGATAAATAATCCTCGAGTAGACAATCTTGAGCAGGACATTGCTGCTATAATTGTCACAAGGTCATCAGTTGTGGAACTAGCGGTTGTTTAAAGTTCCACATATTTTTATATCAGATCGGTTGCGTGAAGTACATAGTTTTTAATTGTTAACTATTACTATTGTTATTACAGTAACTAGATTACATGCTGGTCTACATATCATTGTCCAAACAGAGTTTTCTCTTATCCCAGAATGCACTTCGCGATTTCGAAAGAAATCAAATTCAGGCAAGTGTTGTTATCTGTTGGGAAAAGGGAACGATTCCCCACAGTCTCTTACTGTCGATTTCATTCCTGCAAAAAGATCCAGCAAAATGCCAAATAAAGATGCCACTTCGGTTATTGCCGCCACTAATAAATTTAATAAACTATCTACTTAAGATATTATGCACATTGATATCTAGGACAATGATACCACCAGTCCAAGTCCATCTTCTAAGATCTACGATAATAAAGCTTTTACATACCCAGCAGGTGTCCACTTCTGCCAATCCAACACTAGTTCCCAGTGCTGTCTCTGCTCTTAGTTCTGCATCTACGAAGCAGTATAATCCTGCTATATATGTAAATAGCATCCTTAATACCGATCGATTTCTTCATAAACCTTTCGAAATCACTGATAAAAAGTTTATTGGATAAGTATTGGGAAATAGGCTTAAAATCTTTCATCAGGATGCCTCGGTGCATCTCCTCCTCCAAAAATTAATTGCGGAAAGTAATATTCAAGCACATACTTTACAGCTCCCAGAGGATAAGTTTCTCAAAGTTATTATCAGAGGTCTTCTTACCAACAAAGCACACGCTTTCCAGCTCTCAGAAGATAAATTTCTCAAAGTTATTATCAGAGGCCTTTCCACCAACAAAAAACACAATGAAATTATCGAAGACTAGACAATCTCGGATATTACCCTACTCATATGACTCAATTAATGAACCGATGGGAACGGAAACCCCTGCCTTTCATCTACTTACCCAAGACTGTAGCAAATCTACGACCTTCCTATTCTCGGATACTTTAGTGTGAAATGTTGAATCTTTGATAAGACGACCTGGGCCTGCACTATGCTACAGGTGCCTGGATTTCCATCGTAGTTTGGAATGGTCCGATGTGGGCGAAACCACTTTACTAAGGATTGTGCATTTTCTCTGTACTGAACAACTTCAATGTGCTCTGTACTCCGGCCGTATCTTGCCAGCTTTTCCGGATGTCTTCGAAACCCAAGAAATATTCCTTCTACTGAGTCTTTCATACCTGTTCCTATACCTACTTCTAATCCTCGGACCTCCGCCAGTCATCAAGCTCTTTCTGTTCCTAACGATTTTCCAGCTCTTTTATCCAAAGTTCTCCCACTCCTCTTTTGAGGAGTCAATAGTGCATCAATAGTGCTCCTGCAGCTTAAGTCAAGGACAACATTTTTCTAATTTGGACTTTACTAATTTTCTTAAATCTGAAACATAGTCACAATCGGTATGCAACAACTCAAGGCGTCTTACTAATTTTCTTACAGTCTGGAATATAATCACAATCGGTATGCAAAAACCAATGCTGCCAATGACCAGATCAAAAGGTTTTCCATTATGGCGCAGATATTAGAAACTCTTAGATTAGATCTTAGATTCCCCTCAAAGAAATTCTGCCAAAATCCTAATAATTTTTCTTGGAATGCTAATGGTGTCTTGGATAAGAAAAACGAATTAATAAGCTACATAAGGATCTTGATTCCGACCTCTGCTTAGTTCAAGAATCACACTATAATATATATAGCCTTCTTCTAGTGTTCTACTACTCAAGTACCAAGCTTACCGTAGAGACAGACAGATCGAAAGAGGTGATGGCTCCCTTACATATCTGAAAAGACAGTTATCCCATACCTCTTCGTTTGAAAACATTACCATCATTATCACTCTTGACAACAGAAATATTACTGTCACCAATATCTATATCCCACCAAATAGCACACGTAATCCGGTGGAACTTAATTCTATTTTCACTCTAATCCCCTGCACTATTGCTGGTGGGAATTGGAATGCCAAGCATAGTTACTGGAAGAATATCCTCTCTAATGGTTGACGCAAGCTCTTGTTCAACTCCATTCAGACCAATGGCTACTCCATCATTGCTCGTTAGTTCTCACAATTTCAGCGTTATCGATTTCTTCATTCTAAATAATATTTTATATCCGAATTACATAGCTGCTCATAGTCTTCTGTCTTCCAACCATAACCTAATCTGCTTCACTTATGACACCCTCTCTACTGTTGCTACTCTCTCCTATGCCCCAACTCTCTTCTGTTACCAACTGCTGTGAGTAAATTCAACATCGACGTCATCTCTTCCATCAAAGATTCCAGTAGTAGCTACAATAGTCCAGTAGTAGCTAAACAGGCTTCCTAAACGTATTCCCAAGGACAACAAGATCCTCATCCAAGAAAAGAATTGTACTAGAAAGAGATAGCAATAGACCTTCTAACCGGCCTGCAAAAAGAGCATATAACATCTTGTGGAACCATGTCAAAGAAAGGCTTCAGACCCACAGGCAGGAAGAATGAGAGAGCTTTCTTACATCCCTTGGGGCAGGATAACTCACTCTATAAACTCAATAGAAAACTTACGAAGAAGTACACTCCCATCCCACCTCTTCATAGTTCCAATGATATCGACTTCTCTGATCAGGTTACCGCCAGCTGCCTTGCTGATGATCTGGAAACTTTCTTTTAAAATAATCCGTCTTCCTATAACAATAGTACGATCAATATGGTAAATCACACTGTCACTTCCTTCCTTCAGCAACTAGGTCCCAACACTCTCCCTCCTATTACATCTCCTTTCAAAGCTCAGAACATCATTAATAAACTCACTGGTCCTGACGGTATCTGTAATGTTGCTCTGAAGAATTTTCCCTTATATTGTCACCTAATTTACTAAGATCATCAACTCCTATTTTCAGCTACATCACTTTCCTCACCAGTGAAAATCTGCCACCATGATTACTCTTCCCAAGCCTAGTAGAATCTTCTCTTTCCACAGAACTACAGGCCTATCAGTCTTCTGAGTGCTCTCTCCAAGATTACGTAAAGTGTTACCCTGAGCATCCTATCAACAAGTACAATAGCCTTAATTTTCTTCCACTAGAGTAGTTCGGTCTTTGGACAAAGCACAGTACCACTCATCAACTCCTTAGAGTAATCAACACCATCACCGTGGGCATGAATGCCAAGATCTACACTGGGGCCTTCTTCTTTGACATCACAAAGCCATCTGACCAGGTCTGGCACCAGTAACTCTTTTATAAATTTATCGAGCTTAATCTCCCGGATTTTGTCATCCACCTCACAGCCTCCTTTCTCACCAACTGAAGCTTCAAGATACGAATGGGGAGTACCTTCTCTTCTGGTCGCCGCATTCAAGCCAATGTTCCACAGGCAAGTGTGCTTAGGCCCATCCTTTTCAATCTCTATACTTTTGACATCCCTCGCGATCCTAGGATTCAGCTCGCGCTTTTTACGGATGGTACAGCCATCTTGACTGAAGCAGCCAACTTCAGATACGTTAGAATTTTCTTTCAAAGATACCTTCTTACTCTCGAAGATTAATATACCAAAAGCGCATTGCTGTCAACACTAAAAAAAATCTGCCGCAATTATCTTCTGAAAAGGAAATTCCATTAGACTTTTGATGTCCTCCTCCTCTTTGATGAACCAATAGAATGGACTAAAAACGCTGCCTATCCTGGAGTTAATCTCGAGAGTAAGCTTACCTTAAAAAATTATTTCAAGGAAGTTCATGAAAAATTTAATTAATCTATTTGCAGTTTGTTCCCTCTTCTTGAACACCACATCAAGCTCTCCATCAAAAATGGGGTTATATTGTACAAGTTTGTCCTCCAGCCCGCTGTCCTCTACGCATCTTCTATTTGGTGCCAAGCTACTAAATCCAGACTTCATCAGTTACAGATTCTTCGAAACAAGACTCTTCGAATGATCGTTAACGCCCTCTTATTACTTCTCTCTATCCAATTATCTTTAATCAAAAACACAGTCCTTTTCCATTGAAAAAATGCACTTATCCTGTCAACACTCTGATCATTTAATTCTCTTTTCCACTTCTGCTTTTGCAGACTTCGGGTCCACATCTCTAATCCGTTTCGAGTCTTTATGTGACATTACCTCTGCTTGAATACCATAAATTTTAAATCAGACCTCCTTAGGGAAATTTCTGACCTGCTCAGCAGTTTTTCTTAAATGCATTCATGCATTCTTGCTGTTCAAGTGAAGAATTTTTAATATATACTTTATAATTCATTCAAAGGGAACATTGCTCCCTTTACTCTTCAACATATGGTTAACTCACTGACTCGTGTGCAGGACTCGCACAATCATTTTTATGACGCACGAGAATCTTTGGAAGATGATCCACAACTTGGTCAAAGTCACCTCGTCATAACGGATGCTTTGGTGAATCAAGTTCATTAGATCATCTGTGCAAACAGACGATACACAATAACAGAGGTGAGATTTGCATGGGACTGCCTTTGCAGCATCTTCTCCGATATCGTGATGCTATCACTACCAACCAGCAAGCAAATGATAAAACCAACAGTGGAAACATACCAGCTCTCCACCGCCAAAGAAGTGTAGGATTATGCAGATTAAGGGCAAAATCATGCTGACGTTTTTTTCGATACGGAAGTATCAGTTCTCATTAAGTTCATGCCCCCAAGTGAAACAGTCAATGCTACTTAGTACTGCTGTACCGTGGAACATTTGCATGCAGCAATCAAAGCCAAGCGACCAAACATGATCTCTGAATTGCTTTTGCTCTACGACAATGCACAGCCACATACAGCCACTCGCCACTCGCCACTGAACATACGCGGTTTCAATGGAGTATTTTGAAACACCCACCATATAGCCCCAACTTTTCACATCTCTGGTCCGCTAAGAAACAATATTGCTTGGTCGGCGTTTTCACTCGAACAGCAAAGTCATGGACTAAAGCTACAGAACTGGTTTCACTCTCAGCCAGACTCTTTCTACGAACGAGGTATTCATCGCTTGGTACCACAGCGGGACAAGTGCGTGTGTAATTTTAATGATTACATTTGAAAATAAATAATGTCTTTTCACTTTGTGGCTACTGTTCCCTTTTCATTTGAACTACCCTCATATATATTATAATGATCTATCTTGGATGAATGTCACATTTCCAAGTTAGGAGAAAATGGCTTTTTCATGTCTGAATTAGCATTAAATCTTTGTCTTACGAATTTCTTGTAAATGTCTTATTTTTAGATTGCATGCGGTATGTAAAATTTATAAAATTACTTTTTTTTTAAATTTTATTACTTGCTCCCTTAGTGCTTAATCACTATAAAGTAATGATTAAGCACAACATAGAAAGAGAGGAGTGCTCCGTGGAGGACTTTTAAAAGACAAGTGGCTCACATCCACGCAGTGCAGGATTTACGTATAAGCTACATAAGCTATAGCTTAGGGCCCCCAAAAAATTGAAATATAGTATTAAAATATAGTATAGCAGACTTATAAGGCGCCCCATATCTCTAATAGCTTAGGACTCAATCAAGTCTAAATTCGGCTCTGCATCCTCGTACACATGGGTAAATCCATGAAAATGCTCATGCTGCAAACTATTCATCAAGTCTCGAACCTCGGAAAGAATTACCAATATTTAGCGCCTTTTACCATTCGGCTGCTGGTGGACATTATGAATTAACTTGGAATCGGTAAATCAACTATTGTGTTCCATCTCAAACCAAACTGTTTATTTCTTATATACAGATTCTACTTCATTTTTATTGAAGCACCTTTCAGCTTCTCTTATAGGAGCTTTCTGACAGGCATAATCAGTGCAGGATTTACGTATAAGCTACACGAGATATCGCTTAGGGCCCACCAAAAATTAAAATATAATATTAAAATATAGTATAACAGACTTTGGGCCCCCCCCCAAAAAAATTAAACTATACTATAAATATAATATTAAAATCTAGTGTAATAGACTTAGAAAGAGCCCCATATCTGAAGTAGCTTAGGGCCTCATCAAGTCTAAATCCGACCTTGGGCATAATAACCTATTTTCGTAAAAATAGATTTAAATATGAATAGCTAATGACAACAATAATTCAGAAATAGAGATATGTTCAAGATGTAATGCCATATAACAGATGTAACCTATAACTGAAAATTTTTTAGTTATAAAATTTTTTTATGAAAACTCAGAAAGTTTATGCATTTCTTGCTAATTGCATTATCATACATTGTTAATTCACTGAAATACAGTTTTTTTAAGCCTTTACTTTTGGATCACCTTGTGTAATACACTTATTTAATTCATGCGAATTTAGTGTGAATAACCAAATTCTTTTAGCTTTTCCATGATGTGCAGTTGTCATTTTCTATTTTCAGATCTGAAGATTATCCTCAGATAAGAATTTTATTTGCAAAAGCAGAATTTGCTGTCATTCCAGGTGCTGGACATTGGGTACATAGTGAGAAACCATCTGAGTTCTTAGAAATATTATGTAAATTTTTATAGAAACTATGGTTTATATGTATTGAATTCTGTATAAATATATATATAATTAGATTATTTTTTATGAATAAATTAATATTACATCATGTATTAGTTTGTTGAAATTGTAAGTTTAAATGTAGTTGACATTTTATGAAAATCCATGTAGAGGAGATTTAGAGTAGTATTTATTGTAGCCTAGTATATGCCCCCTCCCAAAAAAAGCATATTATTCTTTCTGGTAGAAATTCAAGAATGTTAACTTACTTTATGTTTTCAGCTGATGTTAGATATTTGTAAAAGGCGATAGGGAAAAATTACATTATTGGGGATAGGGAAAAATTACATTATTGGGGATAGGGAAAAATTACATTATTGAGGATAGGGAAAAATTACACATTTTTCAATCAGAACTTGAAAATGCTATTTTTCAGTTTAAATCAGATGATATTCCAGTCTTTTTCAACTGAGTAATATAGTTAAAAAAATAACAGTTAATTAAAAAATAATTTCTGCTAATTATAAACTAAGTTACTTGATTACTATTGAATAGCCTTTTAAATATTGGTTAAATCTGATAAATTGGTATAAAACTTAGTAAAACAAGTTGAAAATGTTAATGAAAGATCTTTCAAAGGAAAAATGTGATGCCATTGAACTGGATGAGATTATGGTTACTAAGATCATTACATTATACTTAAAGTTTTTGTTTTATCACATCGCATGTGATGGCATTTGTTACTTCTTCATTAACCCAAGATAATAAAGGCCATTTAAGGATATCATTTAAGATATAATGCTAAAAGATATTGCTGTTTGGAAAATTACATTTTATTTATAAATTTCCATTTTCCTGACGAGAATGTAAAAACTGATGCTAGTAATTATGTATGTATTTAAAGTTTCATTTTAGTTATAAGCACTTTATTCTGTACTTCATACACTTATTCTGAATTTTTAATAGCTTTTAAATGTTTAAACATAAATTAATCCGATTGTATCTTGCCAAATATTTCCAGCCAAGAATTTCTGCTGAAAATCTACATTATTCATATGGTTGTTGGATAGCATTGAAAAGTTTGTGTTTTTTCAATAATTCCTTAATGCCTAGAGGATAAAGTTCTCTCTTCTTCATGCAAAAGCAGTAATTACCCATGCATTGTGATAAATGAATTGGTATTTGTACATAAATAATTTTGCATAAACTTTCGCAATGCTTATAATTACACTCATGAATATCTAGAATCTGTTCTGTTATAGTGACTGGTGTTGAAACTGTGGGATCTTGAGCATCAGACATTTCTCTCTTCTTTCTTGTCCTGATCGTACTGAAGTGATGGTTCATTGTTGGAGGTATGGTAAAATTCTTAAATGTGGGGTTTTCATGAAATTTTTCAGCTTGAAACCTTTTGGAAGTTTTCATACGGGACCTTGTGTTATAAACAGAACTTATGTCTACTGTCTTTTCATTCTTGCTTGGTTGTAGAAAAAGTGAACAGATGAAAACATTTTTGTATCTTTGACAACTTTGGCAACCTATTAAAAAAAATTATTAGCATTTTTTTGTTACTTGTTAATGTGATCATTGCATACCAATTTTGGCATCTAAATGCAATGGTTGCTGCTTTTACATATTTAGGGTAAGGTGGCATAAGTCATATCCCCTAACAAAAGGTAGGTATAAATCATAGGATCTATAAAAAAATAAAAAAATATGTGCGGTAATAATATCTTATGTTGTCACTGCTGACATTTATTATATTACAGTAAAATTACATATAGTCTATTCTCTTGAATAAAATTAATAAAATTTAAGAATATGAACAGAATATGACTTAAATAACCAGTATTTTAAGTCCTACCACCTAAGTCGTAATATGTTTAAAATTGGGCAATCTTAATAAAACTATCCTCTTTTTAATTAAGTTATTAATGCAATAAATTACAGCAATGATCACAAAGATTTTTTTTTTTCATTTTCTTGTCAACACCAGCATATAAGTCGTGTACCTATCCTTTGCATTTTAAGCACTGAATCATATTCTCTTCACGTTTTCGTCACGAATATTAGAGAGACAAACAGGAAGAAAAGCAGTTGGCTTCATATAACGCTTAATATTTAAAAGGCACGCCTTTCGCGGTGATACAACTTGCACAACCATACCCTATTTACAATTTCCATAAGGGTATTTGTTTTAATTTGGCATACTTTCTGAAAACTGAATCAGTTTAGTGATAAAATATTTTCGGTTCTAGGAAAAAAGCTAACAGGAATAATGCTCACAGGTACAAATGCTCACAGGAAAAAAGGCCACACAGAAATATGCCCACACAGAAAAAAGCTCACATGGAAAAATGCTCACTTAGAAATATGTTCACACGGAAAAAAGCTCACATAGATACATGCTCACATGGAAATAAGCCCACTGATAAATAAAATACATAGAAATATCCTTACATTAATGAATCAATAATTAATTGATCTGAACATCGTACACCTAATTGATTTTTAAAAGAAAAATTATTTAATCATTTGAAAAAAATTATTGGACAAATGCTCACATTAAGAGGTGGTATATAAAAGAAAAGAAGTATAGTAAAATTTTGCATATACTATAATATTTATACTATTGCCCCTGTTCGACATTTTTATTCTTGTAACTGCCAATAGTTCATTTTTTTAACTCTATTTTTTGCATACTTTTGATGTGTAGCTATAGGAATTGATGTTTGAATGGAATGTAGTTATTTAAGTTCGGAACGAAAAAAGTTCTAAAAGACCACAGTTTTCAATCGAAGTGTGAAATCATTATGAAGCAGCTTCAGAAAAATCTCCTAAAACCATAAATCGTTACGAAAGCTTTCATAAAGTACTAAATTCGTTATTTAATTGTAGCTATTCCAATATGTGGTTTTTATTTGACGGACTGAAAAAAAGATTTCGCCTGTTAACGTTTATTATTAGCTACTGTAAATACAGGGTGTACTGAAGTTAAAGAAAATATAAAAACTTACATTTAGTAATCGCGAATCATGTAAGAAACTATGAGGAAATCGATGATAAAATTAGATATTTACACATATTAGCTAATATTCAGTAATTTTATGTATTTATAACTTTTTGAAATATATATTTATGATTTATATTTTAACAAACATGTATATACGTAAAAAAGCAAATTTAAAGTTAAAATAAATATATATAATAAGGTATTTTACGTTATTGAAATAAAATAATTATTTATATTTGCTATTCTTCTAAATGTTTATGTTATAAAATGTGTAACTTATATTTACTATTACTTTATTTTTTTAACAATTAAAATTGTAATAATTTTTCACTGTATATTCTTTTTCATTTTTCTTCCTTCCTCCTTCCCTTTTCCTAATTCAAAAGAGTCCATTTATTAATCTTATCTAGCAACTGAGTCTCCACATAAGTTACACAGTTTTTAATATATACAATACATAGATGTTTTCGTAATTTAAATCATTTTTCTTTGAAAAATTCAAATAGGTGTTTCAAATAGGTTCATATCGATTAATTATTGATTGATTAATGCAAGGATATTTTCAAGTGTTTTATTTATCAGTGGGCTTATTTCCATGTGACCATATATCTAAGTGAGCATTTTTCCATGTGAGCTTTTTTCTGTGTGGCCATATTTCTGTGCAGCCTTTTTTCCTGTGAGCATTTATACCTATGAGCATTATTCCTGTGAGCTTTTTTCCTGTGGGCATTTTTCCGCCCACAGGAAAAAAAATTTCATATCTAAGATGACCTAATGAAAAAAAAACCTAAATACAGAATGTTGCATCCATATCATTTGCACTCAGATACACCTATCTGTATTTCAGGATTTAAATATTTTTCCCTAATACTGACTATTCCTTTGCATTATTTTAAAATTTAACTTACAAATGAGCTGCTTTAACATCATTATAGAATGATTTTATGGGGGGGGGGATTTGAAGTTACAGTTGGAGTAAATATCTTTTACTCTTTGCATCGCATTTTGTGTATGGGGCTGAGCAAGAGTAAAACATGAATGTTACTGGAACTGGCAAATTCTTTCTTTAGATTGCAGTAGATTAGATTAGATTATTTGGAAGTGACAAAGCACAAAAGGGCTATCTGTCTAAGGGAAATAATGCCTTCAAGGAGGACTTTCTAATGAGGCTGTCGCATCCACGTTACCCAAGGGAAGCCATGAAAACACCCATGCAGCCAGCACATTCGCTGAGATTTTGAACCCGGGTTAGAGTACTGGTGTTCCTCGGTCTTAACCACTCTGCCACTGGTGAGCATAGTTTGCAGTAAGAGGCGAGATATAGGAGAATTCTGCTCTTAATTATGACCAACTGTAGTTGTTTCTTCCGCTGTGGAAGCAATGTCTCTTCCTACTTCCTGTCAGTTATACCTTAATTCTTGTAATGAAACTCATCAGGAAGATGGAAGAAGTATATGGGGGAAAACATAAAGAGGTAAACGATCAACAAAGCATCAATATACAAAGATCTATACAACAAATATCTATACACTGCAGCTGGAGGCCTATTGCTCGGTATGACCATCCACTTTCACGCAACCCTACAATGCGACCACGTTCGAAGTCGTTTAGTTGCCTGTAAGCTCTTCGATATCGTCGTAATGGCATCTTTAGTTGCTTCTTTGCGGAATTAGAATGGCAACAACAAAAAGAGATAAATTTTCCGCCTCTGTTACTTTTTTTATACTTTGCGAATTGCGCGCTATGATCGCAATTCTCGTTCATTTGCCTTGAAACTTTGATCATTTGCATGTTCGATCAAGATGTTTTTGCATACCAAATTTCGTCACAATCTCAAAAGTCCTTCTTGGTGCTTCGATTTCTTTTTTTTCAAAAGAGTGTATATTAGATTTATATATAGCATTGCTCTAACATAGGTATTTTGACACAAAATGGGACTTTTTCTGAAATCACATACCGATTTTTTTTTTTTTTTTTTTTTTTTTTTTTCCCCCCGTATTTCGATTCTACGATCCAAATTATGCCTAAGTATTAAATTTTGCAAAATTTGGTACGAAATTTACGGAGAAATTCAAAAATTTAACGCATTCTTTTCAGTTGCGCCAAAAATAATTCATTTGGCGAACTTCTTAATATATGGCAACCTATTTTCTTTTCCCTTCCGTTGTGCAGGAGCGGAAAAAAAGCTACATCCTTCCTACCTTTTTTACGTTGTGAATGAGCGGAAAAAAAGTTACATCGTTCTTACTTTCAAACAATTTTAACAAAGTGCCTAAACGACATTTAATGTTATTATCGCTTTCAACAAATATGCCGAATTTCAAAACGCGCCAATATATAAATTCACGTATATCTTCGGAAATTTTGAATAAAAAAATTCTAATTTTTGCAGGTATGCTTAGAAATACATCTACTTTAAGATGATGTCAAAACTTTTATAGGTTATAATTAAAAAATTTTTTCGAAAAATTTATACAAATTATTTAAAAATACAAAGAATTTTTACACAATTATGCGTGAAGAGAAATGTTACAGCATTTCCGAAATCAAAACTTACGAGAGCCTTTAGCAGGCGTACCTCCGAATATCAAGTCCAAAGTGTTGGTGAACTCCGACGCTTGTCTGCCTCGAGCCGCGTCATATTTTCTCCTTTGTCTTCATCCGACGCGCGCCTTGCAAGAAATGTAGTCCGGTGATCGCTACAAGTATATTCTGAAATACTCTGCATAGTGATCTGGGAGTAATCACGAACATTTACAGTTTCTCTAAGCATTTTGTATCTTGAAACCTGCTGTTTATGCATAAACATATGTGTATTTTTATGTAACACATGTAACATACACATGTGTAATAAGACCTACATAAAAGAAGGCGAAAAAGAATGAGTTTGTTTTTGAAAGAAAATGAGCTAGCTCTTTGTTCCTAATAAAGGAGAAATATTAAATCTCCCAATAAAAAAGAAATATTGAACTGCAGCACAGTTCTATGTAAACAGGGACTTGGCCAATAAGGCTCGGACAAAGGGCCTCAGGCAAGTGGCCACAAAAATCATTCGAAATCTTTATAATTTTCTTTTTCCTTCCTTCTTCTCACGACAGCTAGAAAAATTAGTGTTGGAGTCTGCATAGAAAGATGCTATATTTATATCCCAGATTATTTTAAGTTTGCTTATGTCTAAATCTTTCTTTAAAAAAACTTGATATCAAGACCGCTTCTAAAGCATCTTATCTGAGCCATGTTTTTTTAATAGAATGGGAAGGGAATGGACAGTGAGTGTGGTGTCCTTTACAGAGTAAAACTGCATGCGAATTTTGAAGATTAGACAATGTATATCGTTGTTCAAGAGGGAACGATAATTTGGAATTACAAGTGAATAATCGTATTTGAAGTAAAAATCGCCTCTACCTCACCTTCGGTGAGTGTGATTGGGTGAGCTAAAAAGTGTGCAAATAAAGTATTAAAGGCTTCTAGATACTAGATGTGCAAAATATATCGAACAAGAAAGGAGCCAGCACTGAGCCTTGAGGACACCTGTGTATCGATAGTATTGAATCAACTTTATAATGGCAAATATATAACTGAAAAAAATTGGAGGTATAAATCTTCTGATGTGGGAAAATTGTTCGTAACTACTCTGTGCTAAACTCCATGAAAAGTTTTGGCTGTATTGATGAATATGCATTTATGGAAGGTTTAAATTTAGATTCGTCGGTTATGCCGTTAATTACTAGTAGGTAATTAATTGTGTGGCCTGTGGCATGCCGTAGTTGCGAGATAGTAAGTAAAGATATTTAAGGTGGAGAGACACTTAAACATCGAGCTTTATACCTTTCCTGTAGTCTCTAGCTCTATGTTTAGTCGAAAAGCTTACCTCTTTCTGTGAAGCCATAAGTACTCTGTTTATTAATTCTTATTTATGCAAAAACTTTTATATTATATGTTTATATGAAAGACATGCTGAAATAAGAATAACTTAAATAACAGTAATTACATTAATTTAGAAATAACAGCATGTTACATTAATTTAATTTTTCTTTAGTAGGAACAGATGACAAGGTGTTAAGAAATTTGAGAAAATTACGTACAACTTATCCACAGTTAAAAAAAAAAAAAAAAAAAAAAAAAAAAGCCTCTAGATGGTGCTATCTATCACAGGCTCTAGTTACCGATAATAATTTCCGTGTTAATTTTCTGTGTTAAAATGCGTGGATTGAGTTAAAATGATACATTTTTGTTATTTGTATTCTTTTATTTAACTAGTTTAGATAATTTCGATTATGGTAAAACGCATGAAGGCTAGCTCCCATTAAGAGGGCGGACCTTGTGGAGGACTTCTGAAAAGAAATTGGCTCCTATTCGCATTACGCATGAGGTAAACCACGAAAACTCCTATGCCGCGAGCCCATTCGCCAGGATTTGAACTCTCGTCGAATTACCAGTATTCAGCGATCTCACCGTTTAGCCCCTGGCAGGCGTGTTTTATTTGGCATAATTTATCTAGCTCAAATATATATTTTGAATAAAGTAATTCAAATTAACTTACATGATGTTAAGAGCATTACTGTCATCAAACACAGCAATTTCCTGCAACAATAAAAAGCATAGATTTAAGGGATTGTTAGCTTTTTTTAGCATAAAGTTTCTTCATTAAAGGTAAAAGGTACGTAGATCTGAAAAAAAAAATTCAGTTATAAATGCTTTAAATCAGAAAAAAACTGAAAATTTAAATTTTATGAATATTTTTGTAATTTATGCATTAATTAATTAATTAATTATTTCTTAATTCTGAACTTATAAGGAAATGTTTCATTTGTCACTGTTGGTCGCAGACACACACTTCCAAAAATGTTTAAAATTTTTGCGAGTAATATGTTTCAAATGACCGAAATATTTGCAAAAAATGTTTCAAAGTATTTTAGTTTTGGCATGACAGATTTTTACAAAATTAATTTTAAATTAAACGATTTTGTTAAAATTTAGATATTTAATGTTTTATACGGTCCATATATTTAATATTTCTTTGGTAAAAGTCAAGTATACGGTACGCCGTTGGCACGAATTTGAAAATTGTCGCCAACACCAAAATGGCTCGTTTACTGCTCATTATAATGCCCCCAAAAGTCGTCAAATCTCTTGAGTACCGTATACTAGGATTAAGCCGGAGATTTTATTCTCAGGCGCATAGAATTCATGCTTTCGGAAAGTGTAGAATTGGGTGCCACTTCAATTAGCGACATTCTTTTTTTTTTTTTTTCGATGAAATTTTATTTCTGGTTACCATGATAGTTTTAACTTTGTTTTAGCTTCTTTATTTTTTTAAATGAAAATAGATTAATGTGTACATGGACAAATTTAAGGCAGTGTGGCAATGCCTAGTTTGTGCAATCCTGGGATTTTTTTTTAAGTGAAAACAGATCGATGTGCACATGGACACACAGTTTTTGCAATTCTTTGACTTCTTATTTTGGTTTTGTGTAGCAGCCACCTTGAAATCGTGCCTTCCTGGCACCGATCTTGGTGTCAAAAAAGAATCGCCAAAAAACAAGGGGCACTCAATTGTAAACTTTTACCGTTTCAAGTAATAACTTCAAATACTTTCAAATACTAACAGAGACAATTGTTACATTTACATAAATTAAAAATTAAAAAATATTTTTAGTCTAATGAATTCGTTTAAATGACTATTAGATTATATTCTTGAAGTAATAACAATATTATAAACATATTTTCAAACTTCGGAATTACTTGTGTGAAAATATTTTTGGTATCCCAAACGTAACAAAATTATAAATTAAATAACACTGCATTCTGATTCAGAAAAAAATATCATTAAATCAATCAATAAATAAAAATTCACATTAAATGCGAGGGGAAAAATTATTCTCGAATTATCCTAGGATTCTTTTAATAGACTCGTCAAGGACAGCGATAAATTCCCTTTCCTAACAATAAAAAATCTGTAGAAATTAAGAACTGTTCATATCTTGGTCAGCTTTTGTCGTACGGGGTTGCTTGTGCTTTACTTTTGAAAATTAAGTATAAGCTTTTACTACATTTTACTATAGTAAGCAGGAGACCGTATAAAAAATGTAATTTCTCTAAACTTCATTAACTTTTTTTTTTTTTTTTAATTTAAAAACACCATAACATGAATATTTGTGTTAGTTAAAACATTTTTTTAAATTAGAAATACATATCGACTATCAACGATTGCAAAATGAAAAGCCATGTAAGAACTTTTATGAACACGGAGTATAAATAATACATTAAAAAAGCAATTAAATATTTTCAGAATATACCTACCGAAGCATTTGGATAGCAATTATCACTGTATCAGATACTTCACTACTACTTTATCAGATACATCACTACTACTAAGTACTCTCAGAAACACTTTCGAAAACATCGCAAATAAATCATGATTTAAATTGCAATGATTTTTTTTTTTTTTTAATGTTTCCTAAATTATTTTTCTTTTACATGACGAACAATAACAACGCATGATAATGGTTCAAAGAAATCTGATCTCACGCTTCTACGCGCTAAATACATTTGCCAGATTTTTAAATGGTTTTATTTTATAGGGAATCGCAAATTCACTTATAGTTTCTTGTTGGACCATCAGGCGACTTGTCCTCCCGCCTTAGTACAACAGCTATAACTCAGAAGGCTAAACAACCTTTTTATTTAAAACTTCAAACTTAATAATTTGGCTAGCTCGTCTTTGCGACCACCTCCGTTACTTGGGTTTTAAGCTAACATAAAATGCAAATTAATGTTTAAAGTAATTAACGCCGGAAATTCACAAAGCAAATTCATTTTAAGCTTTGGCTCAAACTTTTCTAAGTGCACGCTGCCTAAGCTCTGCGTGAGAAGAGGACTTTAAAAGAACTTAACATTAAACTTTAAAAGAACTCACATATACAAGTAGCTAATTTGCATTCTGGTGGGAGCTGGTAAAAGCAGAAGTGACAGTACACATCAGATAATAAGATAATGTGTCAATTAACATAAACTTTACAATTTTACTTAATATATCTCTTTGTTAAGGTTAAATCTTGGAATTAATTTTAGCCTTTTCTACCTAACCGATTTTTTGAAGTTCTTCACAAAACACATATTTGCGATAGATAATAGAATATTCTACATCATTTTTTAAACATAAGATACAGACTTTTTTGTTATTAAGAACAAAAAATTCTGTACTTTGTTAGATGAAATAACTCAGAAGGCTAAACAACTTTTTTATTTAAAACTTCAAACTTAATAATTTGGGTAGCTCGTCCTTGCAACCACCTCCGTTACTTGCGAGTTTTAAGCTAACATAAAATGCAAATTAATGTTTAAGGTAATTTCACCAAATTTTCTGCTGTTAAAATATTTACATCTGAGCCCCAGGTTTTACAAAGAAATATTCCACTTCAAGGATTCTCAAATAAAGACGTTTTTGTTTACAGCATTCTACGAATCGAGAGAATCTTGCATGCTCATACATAATGTTTTAAAGAATATTCATTTTAGATCAACAATAAACTGAAATTAAATATTGTAACAACTCACAAGTTGTATTAATGACATATCATTTGCATTAATGTAAAGCTAACGTGCTTGCATTAAAATAAATAAGTACTTAACAAGCAGACGATAACATCCTCCCACCTTCTAATTATATATTACAATCAAAACATTGTACATTATGATTTTATATCATACTGAATACGAATGCACAATATGTGGCAACATATACGAGGGCATTTCGAAAAGTAAAGATACACCGTACGCCAGAGGAAAAGAAAAGTTTTGGTGAGCAATTTGACAACACAGGTGTTAACCTTGAACCGTTAGCTTTCTCCTCGCGGTCAATCTGCATTTCAACGTTGATTCTGGTTGGAGTAGGTCGTGTTTAAAATGGCTGCGCCGATTCAGAATCCCGCCAAATGCGAAGTACGCTCCGTCATACGTTTTCTTCATGCAAAAGGTCAGCGACCGGAAGATATTCACAAAGAAATTGTTTCTGTTTATGGGAACATTATGAATCGACAAAATGTAACGAAATGGTGTCGTCATTTCTCTGAAGGTAGGGCCGATGTTCATGACGAACAAAGAACAGGTCGGCCATCTATGATCTCTGATGCCCTTCTTCAGAGAACAGAGGAAGCAATTCGTGCGAATAGACGTCTCAAATTGAACGAATTGCATCAGATCATACCAGAAGTGTCAATGACAACTCGTTATGAATTTGTGACTGTCAAGTTAGGGTACAGGAAATTGTGTGCGCGCTGGGTTCCAACAGGCGGCAACCTTCTATGACTGTGGGATACAAAAGCTTGTGCACCGACTTAACAAATGTTTGGATAATGGGGGTGATTATGTCGAAAAATAATAAAAAATCCAGTTAATAAGATGTAACTGACGTTTTCTAAATAAATGTTTTATTTTAGGAATGCAAGTCATTGTATCTTTACATTTCCAAATGCCCTCGTATCTGAAAAAAATTGACAAAAATTAGAACAACACTTAGGATAAATAATCTTTAATCTACCTTTTACTAATCCAAATTGTCAGGAACTTTTATCTAATTTAGATATTTTCATTTTAGATTTCGGGATACTACTTCCATCGTTAACTGAGTCCTTATTATCAATACAATTTATTTTTTCTGCTTTTAGGATGTGTTTAATGAATGAAAACTGTAAAGGATACTCACGCTAAATTGGATAAAATAATTTTGAATGAGAGGTTTGTATTTTTAGAAGTCAAATACGTCCATCCTTTACAGGCTCTGTTTCTCGTCCCAGTGGCTTAATGATTCTTTTACTGTTGTGTGTTTCAGTTAGCACTTTACCTCCAAAAGCTGTTTCGGAAGTATCTTTACTTTTTGCTCTTTGAACGAGAAGTCCTAGGAAGAACGAGAAGTGAATAACTTCTGAATCGATTTCTCAAATACCTTTGAGGATTTTGTATATTTTTGATCCTTTGATGGTCAATAGTATCAACATCTGGTGCATTCCATCCCTTGATGTCTTTCAGGAAAAGCGGAAGATGATACAGGAACTAGTTGTTCGTCTTCAGATTGGTAGGTCAGACGTTGAGAATGTATTAACGCTTCACAGTTACCAAAGGACTGTCGCCATTTCTTCATTAAGCAATTATGGTCGACTTAACATCTTTTTTAAGAGGTCCTTCATCATTCGAATCAACCGCTCCCACCAGGCTGCAGTTGGCGGATTAAACTTCAAATCAACCGCATTCATAGTGCTATGTCTTACAATACAATTTTATTCCAATAAAAGGAGCGAAGTAGATTAGCAGCACCAATGAAATTGCTACCGTTATCACAATAAATAGCGGAGCATCGTTCCTTCTCAACGTTTAATTCCTTGTATAGCAACAAATATACGGAAAGCCATAAAAATGTTAAGTAGATAAACTGCTAACAAGATCCAGATGTATTGCTCTGTATACGGCGAAGGTGACCAACTTTACTCATTCTTTCGGATTCCCTCTAATAATTCTGCAGCTGCATTCACTCCTGTTATTTGAAAAACAGCAGCGTCTCAAACACGATTTTCTGGTAATGGTCCAGGATTAGCTTCTAGCTTCTTTGAAGTGAAGCGGTTATAAATGATGCACTTTGATATGATTTTGCGTACTGTTTTCCTCCCATTAAAAACCCAAAACTTTTCACGTATTATATTCTGAAAAATTTCAAGGCCACAATACAAATTATTCTTGTGATAATATTCAGTGAATTTCAACACAACCTCGTGATCTGAGAGTAGAACCATTGGCTTTCGAAAATCTTTATTTTCTATTGACAATTTGTGTCTTAAAAGGTACGATTTTATCTTCATCTAGGTAAGTAGACAAACTTTTAAATCTTTGATCTTCTTCTTTGAAAGACTCTTGAATCATCTGTACTAATTTCAACATTGCATTTTCAAATTCAGAAGAAGCCAGCTCTCCTACCGTTCTTTCTTCCTTCCTGCAGAGACAATTACTTCTAAATCTTAAAACCCAACCCACTACGCGAAAGAGAAGTGCGAATAGATTCTCTTATACTGGGTAATATTTTCATTGTTAGCCAACGAATTCAATTTCTCTTTTTCTATTTCTACTTCATTAATGTTTTTAAGATGCTTCCACAGTTTCAGCAATCAAGTAGGTTCGATTAACTACAATGGACCTCCCACCGTCTGAGTCACAGAATTTGTGTTGCTGTACAGTCCTTAGATGGCAAGTCGGCGGGATTTTGTTCACCAGCTACATGATTCCATGCGGAAGGAGTAGTAGTTAGTTTTCTTACCTCTTTATTCGACTTCAGACAAATACTGACCAATTTTCGGCTCTAACTATCCATGCAAGTACAGTTAGTTGAATTACCCAGTAGTAAAACTGTACATCCTTCCAATTTAATGCTTCAACTACCGAATTTGTCAATCTAGAGCTTAACAAAGCAGCTAAAAGTTCCATACATGGTATTGTTCCATCTCTTAAAGAAGCTGCTCTGAATTTAGCAACAAGAAGTGAGAGTTAATAGAACTTTTCTCATCTAATCCCAAAAATACCACAGCAGCATAGGTATCTTTGCTAGCATCACAGAAGGTGTGAATTGTGCAGTGCTTCAAATTTTATGCTGTCATATGAATGCATTTGGGAATGGGAATTTCTTCCAGAATCTTTAATTCTTCAAACAACTGCATGAATTCTTTTCTCAGACTATCAGTGATTTCGGTGTCCCGTTCCACATCCATGTTTTAAGCCTTTTGTAACATTATCTTGGGGCAAAGTGTCACTGGAGCGGTATATCTAATTGGATCAAAAACTGTATGAGGTACTGGATAGCATAACTTGCTTAGTTAAGTTCTCAAGGTTTAATTTTTTTTTTTTTTTTTTTTTTTTTTTTTTTTTATCTAGCTCATGAGGAAGGAATCCAACTGACGATTCCACATCAGGCCTAACTATGTTCAGTTTGGTCTCTTTCTGCAAAACCCGTTGTTTAAGATAAAAACCGCCTTTTGATATTGGCAAATTAGATTTGGATATAAAATCTTTAAATCATTAGATCTAGCTTACTAATTATTGTCAACAATAGCTCAACTTTGTCAACATGGAAAATTTGCGGTAGTGTTTCTTAAGCTTAGGGTCAAAATCTTGACTTTCACAAGCTTAGGGTCAATCTTGACTTGAATCAAAAGTGCACATCTGTGTAGCCAACGAGGGAGTGGCTTCTAGGATAGACCAATGAGCATCCAGTAATATTTCTGTCATGTCACATGACTTTTCGCATGCTTTAAGATTTAAGCAAGATGGTTTAAAATATTTTGTCACGCAATTTTCTGTACATCGTCTATTTCTTCTGAAAATTTTCATTGCGAAGTTAGATCAAATATAAGCAATTGGGAAGATTTCACTACCTGGTTGAAAGAATTTGAAATAAATACAAACACATGTTGGATACTCCGCAA